TAAAAACACTGCTCCTGAACAAGAGGAAGGATTATAAAAACTGCATCAGAATGTTTGTTAGTCCCAGAAGAGTCAGAAAATGTCATTTTTTGCAGATATGTGCCACTTGCTTCATACTGTGTCTCATGATTTTTTGGGTACCATTTGATAATCACATTGTGAGCCATATGAAGTCCTATTCCTACAGATACCTCATAAATAGCTACCATTTTGTGAATGATAGCCTGTCTATCAGCAGGGATAACCTGAACAGAGTATCAAGCTACCAATACTTGATCAACCACAGAGAGAAATGTCAGCAGCAGGATGTCCTTCTCCTATTGTTTGTGAAGTCTTCTCCTGAAAACCGTCATCGAAGGGATGCAATTAGACAAACGTGGGGTAATGAGAAGTATGTTCATTCCCAACTTAATGCCAATATTAAAACCCTTTTTGCTTTAGGACAACCAACACACCATCTGCAGAAAACACAGCAGCAAAGAGAACTTGAGCTCGAAGACCAGAAATACCAGGATTTGATTCAGCAAGACTTCTTGGATACTTTTCACAATCTTACTCTTAAATTGCTTTTGCAGTTTAGCTGGGTGAATGCCTACTGTCCTCATGCCAGGTTCATTATGTCTGCAGATGATGACATATTTATCCATATGCCAAATCTCATTGCTTATCTCCAAAGTCTCACACAAATGGGTGCTCAAGATCTCTGGATTGGTCGTGTCCATCGTGGATCCCCTCCCATAAGAGACAAGAGTAGCAAATACTATGTTCCATACGAAATGTACCAGTGGCCCTCTTACCCTGACTACACAGCAGGAGCTGCTTATGTAATATCAAATGATGTAGCAGCTAAAGTCTATGAGGCTTCATTGACTCTGAAAACAAGTCTTTATATAGATGATGTTTTCATGGGTCTCTGTGCCAATAAAATGGGAATTGTACCACAATATCATGTATTTTTTTCTGGGGAAGGAAAGGCTCCATATCATCCCTGCATTTATAACAAGATGATGACATCTCATGGACATGTAGATGATCTCCGCCAGCTCTGGAAGCAGGCTACAGATCCCAAAGTTAAAAAGATTACTTCAGGGATTTGGGGTAGAATGTACTGCAGACTAGTCAATATTGTGCTTCTCTGTAAACTGTACTATGTGGACACGTATCCTTGTTCAGCTGCGTTTTCTTAATACTTGAATATCTGCATTGAAGATCCACTGAGCCAAGACAGAGCAACAACATTTTAGGTGTTTATCCAAAATATATGTAAACATGGAATGAGGTAAAATTTACACGTGAATACTTGGGGTGGGCAGAGGGAGAGGAAGAAGACGGTCCCAGGGTCCCAGATTCTGTTCAGAGACTTATTGGAATAGCTCTCCTGTTGTACTTCGACTTTTTACATTGTAGCCTCTTTTTTTACACTCTTCAAGGGATGCAAATCTGGATTATAAGTGAACTATAATGGACTTGATTTCTAGACTTTGAAATGCTTGTTGAAAATATCTGTTTCTTTGAACTTGTCAGTAAGTCTTGATGGTTTTTATAAAAACTATGTGAACTAAGGCATGTGGCAAAAAAACCTCTGTTGTATCAGAATGGAATAGACCTTTCAAAAAGAGAAAAGTGGAACTTCTGACTTGATGAATGAGACTATCACAGTAGTTTAAGGTAGTGTAAACTCTCTACAAATATTCACCATTTCTCAGTGCTTCATACAAAGTCAGTCTGAACCTGCACAGCTGACAAACAGTGAGTGCTAGAAGTGAAGACCTGCTACAATTGTTTTCTCAAAGCTGCCTAAATCTTTGAAATAGGGAAACAGTGTTTGAAGGCCCTCTGACTTGGTTGTTTTAAATAACAAAGGAACTGCCTTTAGAACCTGAAGCTACAAAAAAACAAATACCTCTCATGTTAGTGGTTGGGCTAATATTTCTCTGTCTTCTGAAAACTGAATCAGCACATTTAAAAAGTCCAATCTTTAATAAGCAAATAAGTTAAGTTAGTTTTCTGCTAATAATGCTTCTGTTTTCCAGTATTCTAGAGGTGAAAAGCAAGCAAAAGTCCCTGGGAAAGTTACTTACAGCTAGTTTAAGACTTAAAGACTTTAAAAAAAGCAAAATTTCGTGCTTGTACTAACAGAGAGGGAGGATATTTTCTGTACAAACATTGCATTGAAGGGATAGGGAGATGGTGATTCACACAAACTCAGTACACAAAGCATAATAACCAAAATATTTCTCCTGAAGTTAAAATTGTCTTTAAAACTTCAGGGTTGTTGGTGTCCACAAACCCAACAAGATGGGTTGGTGTACCTTGAATATATCTCAATGTTAATATCACTTGGAAAGGAACAAAATGCCTGTGCTTTGTAAGCCAAAACAGAGCTAAGCGATGTGCAAACTGCAGCCCTTATGAGTTGTCCTGTGGTGCCATAAAGATACTGCAGAGAACCAGAGTTGTAGGCTGCCTGCAGCCCTTGCACAGCTCAGTCACGGTGCTTCCACAGACTCTCAGGACAGTATCTTAGCTGCTAATTGCCAAACCTGTGGCAGCTGTACAGGACGTGCTAGTTTGAAGCTGTGAGTAGTAAACTTGGTGTAACTGACTGCTACTGCTCTTGGAGCTGTGCTGCAGGTTTTCTGGCTTGAATGGATAATGGCATCTGTCAGAGCAGACAGAATCCAGGAGTGAGCTTGCTGACTGTTCTCTAAGCTGTTCAGATGGAGGGTAGGTAGCTACTGGAACTAAGTCAAACATGTAACTTTCTATAATTGGTTTTGCAGAAGGAAGATAATAAGATTCCTAAGTGGTCCCAAATGTTGGGCATATCAAGAGCTCACAAAGAAGTCATTTATCAGTGTCAGAATGACTGATGAGTATAACAGCTATACTTCAGAAGGAACAAATCCAATTTCTCTCTTGCCAAAACAAATGGATAATAGTACTGGGGATGTAGATCTTCATAACCTGTTGCATACAGAGAAAATAAATGCACATATAGAGAAAGTATTGTACATTGAAGGAAAGCTGCTTCATCAGATTTCTGACTTCTTGTGAGCCGTTTAAATCAACAAAGCTGCACAGCAAAACTGCACTGCTAGAAAAGCCACCCTGTTCACTGAAGGGAAAGAGGGTCTTCATATGCAGTATGCAACCAAAATGTGCTAGTAAGACTATAGTCTTGCAGCATATCTACGTGTTGGGATTTGTTTTCACTCATACATGCAAAAGTAAAGTAATCTTTAAGTAGCTTTAACTAGCTAACATCTAAAACGCTGCTTACGTGTAGTTGCCATTATCTGAAAATCACTTTTGACCATTGAAATACTTTGTTTTACAGTTGGTTTGAGCTTTGTTTGGATTGTTTCTTAATCTTAAAAGAGCCTTGATGTTTGTACTATGCATTTTCTTTTGCTGCAGTGAAAAGAAGTTGCTCGTTGAATAAAAAGGAAAGCAGGAAGGCACTCCTTTAAAAAAATAGAAGAGACATAGAAAACTTCATATTTTCTGGTTCTAAACACAAATGAAGATTTGTACACTTCCATCAGGAATCTTTTTTAACAATAGTCTCAGTGCTCCAATGCAGGGCTGATAGGTTTTGCTTCAAATAAAACGGTATCAGCCTGAATGGTCACTCCTCATTAAGAGTTTGACATTGTTGCACAGCATATTTAATGCTATTTTTTTTATCTGTTTGTTTGGTTTGCATCAGTTTCCCTTTGATATTACTAATTTTTATACAAAGTATTCAATATTTATTCTTAAACTTTGCTCTGTACCACAGAAAGACAGTTGTTTTGTAAAATTTGTTTTGAATAAACAGACTTATTTCTTTTAAAAAAACCTAAGAATACAGAAAAGATAAATATCTCTTGTTGCCTTCTTTGTAACTGACAGGATCAGTTCTGATACTTGTAAGTTTTGTTCTGAGTTCCCTTTTACAAGAGGACTTCAAACTGCCCCTCATTCCCCCACCCTGCCCCTGGTGTGTGCAAAAAGCAAAATTGGTGTTCCTTGTTTACCAAGCTTCTAGGTCTAAAGTTGTATAAAACTGTCAGGTATTAGAAGCTGAACCTGTTGTTAATGTTATAATTTGTATGTTCTCTTCAGGCAGCCGTTCCCCTGGAGATGTGTATCTGTCTACACAAGATTTGAGATCATACTTTGCACCTTTGGAAAGTAGCTGATGGTCTGGGGACCAGACATGGTATTTTCATAGGGTATAATTAAATTCAGATAATTATGATTTGTATGTCTCTCCAATTTGTCTGACATAATGTGTCAGGTTAGGGTTTTTACAAATGGAGTCATTTGCATCACGTAACTCCAGTGTCTATGACAGGGGCATAACTAAAGCATGAATGATCTAAATGATAGTGAAGAAGAAAATAAAGGAAATGAAGTCAGGATTGTGGCATTTGGCTTCTTGCAGGGGGGTTTTGTTATGGGGTTTTTTTTTTTCTGGGGTTTTTTATTTAATTGTTCCCTTTGGCCTAGAAACTGCAGTTCAGCTAAAATTGGGTTTGCTTGATACTTTTTGTTGAAGTGATTTAAGTATCTGGTGCTTTAGAATGCATTGTTAATAATCTTTTTCTCAAGATTTTGCAGAAAGTTGAGCTTGCAGTTAAAAAACCCAGAAGTCCCTCAGAGGTATATAGTAAAATGTGAATATTCTGAACACTATGAAAGGATCTTTTAACAACAGGTTTTTTTTGTAAATACATGCAAGGCTTATTCTAATGACTTCTTCTCTCAAATTTTGTAATGAATGCTTCTAAGAGAAAAAAACCTGTAAAAAAGCCCTGAGACAAACAAAAGAGAATTCTTACTTGTTTTCCATCTGATAGACGGTATAAATGCATGGCTGTAAGCATTTCAGTGACTTCATTATTTATTAACCTTGGTGAACTTCAAAGAGGTTGTAGAGAATGTACTACAAATGCAGCAATTTGCATTCTAAGAAGAAAAAAATATATAGTGGCTCATATGTGCAGCCTTACCTCCTCCTTGTTGACAAGTTCTCATCACTTTCACTGGTCACCAGGACTCTGCTGGATCCTCCTTGACTGGCTTCATGCATCACTTCAATCTGAATGAGAAGGATGTGTTAAAAATGGAAATAATTGCTCATGCTTTTATTTAGAGAATTTTAACTCTTTGAAAGAATTAAAAACAGATCCTACCTAACCTAGAAAGTCATTAGACAAGTTCAAATAATTGAATTCTAGATGTGCAGAAATATCTCTTATTTATATTCTCCATCCTTGCTCAGTGTTGGCATGGAGGCATTCCTTACTCCAGGCAAAGCCATTATATTATTGCACCACAGAAGGGGAATTATCTCCTTGTGTAGATAATTACATGAATAATAATCTGTTCCTTAGACTCTGGAATACTATTTTTTTCATTTCCTGTCTGAAGCCAACCCAAAGACTTCACATTTCCAGAGTTCTTTGTAGAATGCCCTGTGGAGAAATCTGGGAATCGTCCGTGTGCCTCTGAGAAGTGTCTGTGTCCCAGCAGCAGTGCTGGGTGAGGCAGTGCTGAGCACAGTACCTGTGCAGAGCCTGTGCCCAGGCTGAAAGAGCTTTTGCACAGCTCCAGTGTTTGTTTTGATAAACACTCACACACTCCCTTGTCCAGTCTTGCAGAGTTGGATCATTTCAAGTGCTCTCCAGGCAAGTTTTAAGCAGACTTTTCTTCCTTTTGCCTGCAGCTTTAAGAGCAGCAAGCACTACTTGCACTTACTGAAAAGCCAGTCTCTTCAAATTCAGTTAAACAACCCATCTGCTGAGTTTGCTGTTAATCCGAGCCAATATCTAAATCCCAGCAGAATCCAACTTCCTGAGCACTTTCATTTTTAAGGGCTGATTCTTACATTCTATATTGCTAAATTATTTAGCTGGTTGATGATAATGATGGAATTCAGTAATGAACTGTCCTCATCTGAACTATTATCAGAACAATGGGAGGATAGGGAGGGGGCATAATTTGCAGTGTAGTCTTGGGAAGTGGATTTAAAAATTAACGAATGGATGTTTTATAAAGCCTATACCACACTGCTGCATACACCTGACTAAGTGGGAGGAATGCAGCTGATTACCTGCATTACTGATGAGAGTAAAACTAATTCTAATGTCACTTTCTGTGAGTTTAGGCAAAGGGAAGACTACTTGTATGTTCCTGCTGATAACTTGGTTTTATTCTGTGCTTATTGCTGAAGTTGTGGGCTGTGCTAGCCACTTCAGAAAATGAACTGCATTTAAATTTTGCTTTCAGCTTTAGGGGAATAAAGATAAAATGTACGAACAAGTCAGGGGTGTGGATAACAGACAAGTTAGGTTAAAGTCGCTTGTCCTTACCAGAGTTAAGTTAGCAATGCTCCAATTTGTTTTTTAAATTCCAAGTATAGGTGTGTAAATCTATATTTATGAGGTTTTGAGTTCTCTCACAATATGGGATGTCTCCACATTACAGGTAATCCTACCTTAATTCCACCTTTTGTCTTCTTAATGCTTTTCTTTTTTGATAACTCTACTTCAGAAACGGTCTTTGGAGGGCAGGAAATTTCTGTAGACCTCCTGTTGGTAGCTGAAAAAGTAAAAAAGAAAGTAGCATTAGAAAATATGCTAAAAGTTAAAATTCTACTTCCTAATAAAGGCAATGAGCAAAGTGGTAAATGAGGCCTGGCTTAGAGAACTGAGCTGTGCTGGAGCAGTGATGGACTGGGTGGAACAAGGGATGGGTTTCCTTGTTCAGTTCTGCACTGTCACAAATTGGCATCTTCAGCTCCGTGCTGTAAGGATTACTTTGGTTTGGTTGCTCCTGGGAAAAGCATCTTTAGGACAGCACAGGTAAATGTTAGCCAGCTGTACCAACTTGGGTAATTGTCACTTGCATGGTGTTTCTTGTGTGGGTTCCCAGGAAAATTTTGTTTCTGGTAATGGTTTACTGATTGGTGTTGGATTAAAGGATTGTTCCCTTTAAGGTTTCATTACACGAACAACTCTCAAAAGAGTAATCACAGGAGTGCAGCAAGGCACAATGGCAGGTGTGGAAGGGCAGAATCTGAGGATATTATTTCAGAATATGCCATGTTGTGTCAGGTTTGGTGGCCCTTGCAGGCTCTGAAGTGCCCAGCTGACACTGAGGTGTCTGAGGCTACTGGACAGTCATCCTTAACAACAAAACCACTTGAGCCTGCTGTCCAAAGCAAAGGTTAGACTGAACTATGAGAACGGGAATCATACATTTGGCTTGAGTAGCAAATAATATCTATTACAGCTTTATCTTTGTTTTATGATTGGTAATGAGTTCACAGCACATGCAAGTACAAGGCCAACAGCACTATTTCTTCACTGCTGACTTGATGTGGGCAGCCATTCATGCCATGGGTGAAAACACGTATGAAAGGCAGATGAAATGCTGAAAGAATCTGGGTCAGGCAACAAAGAACAAAATTGAGGTTAAGTCCTTTTTTATTCTGGCAAAGCTTTATAATTGAAGAAGCACTTTTTCTAAGAATAAAAACTAGTGTTTTCAAATGCATCTGGCAACATTTTCTTTAAGAGGGTTTCACCAAGTTTAATGTTTTGAAGTGTTGAGAGTTTTTTCTCTTTGGGAGAAGCTGAGGGATATAGCAAAAATGATGCAGGCATCTTTGAATGAGGAGGACCTAGTATCAAAGGTTTGATGTAGGAGAGGTCAGAATACTTTTTTAAAAGAAGTACCTTAACAAAGTTTCAAATGCCCTTGTCATTATATTCTTTTAAAGTAGTCTTTAAAAAGGAAAAAGGAAGAACATAGAAGCACCCCAAATTATATTCAGTTAAAAAGACAACATATGAGTTGCACAGATGATAATGATGGAAGATGACATTTCTTCTGTGTCTTTTCAACAGCCTTATCACACAGCTGGGAAGAGAATTAAAACAGCCTGTCTCCAACTCTTCCCTAAATCTTCTTGGATTTATCCGATGCTGAATGACATAAGGACTTGGCACTGCCCATTTCATGCCTGTTACCTCCTTACAATGACTCCATACTAGAAAGTTTCCTCAATGGAACAGTGAAATCTGGCAGTCACCAGCAGCTATAATCAACTGGTAGAGAATTCTTGTGGTTCCCAGGATGGAGCTGAAACGCAAATGTCACTTTTTGGCTCTCCCATCACTCTTTCAGAATATACAGCAGGGGATTTTGATTTGATTTTGAACACTACTTTCAACAAATACCTTTTTCCTATCCCCAAGCAAGCTTTCCCTGAAGTAGTATTTGTTCTCTGAAAGGTATTTTTGTTTCACCCAAAAAGTGGTGTACTGACAATTTGGAACCAAGAGCACAAAAAGATGTAAGATGCAGCACATGGAAGTTATTTATCCTGATTGTAATGGCTTCTAATCTGTCATGGCTTCTAAATTGTCATGCCTTTCTAATCTTCAGGGAGAGTGACTGCTACTCTTGGCAAAACCTGAATATTTGGTAAATTTTCAAAGGGGTCCTTTTATGTGTTTTCCCATGAATCTCTGAGTAAAGTGTCTGTAAGCATCAGCAAATTCACCCTTTTCTGCATTGATACAGCCTGGAGATTCTGTTTAGCCATAAAGTCTCACCTACCCCAATCATGACAAAACAGGCTGTGATCAGACCTATTACACTAAAAACTATTACCTCCTGGAGCTTCTCCCAGCTATATCCTATTCATACCTTGAAAAATCAGCATAAAGAGAATATATCTAAGACTTGGCCACCAAGATATTGTTTCAAAACTTACCCACATCTGAATACCCTAGATATGCTGCCAATGTCTAGTTGCCCTCTCTAAATCTGAGTTCAGTCCCTTGGATTGCTCTATTCGCAATCTCATTCACAATTTTTATGGATATGTTGTGGAATTCAAGGGAAGCAACAGAAATAACTTAAAAAAACCATCAGGACTTTCACTTAGAATAGCATAGTCAGCAATACCGAGTTGTTTGGCTTATTCATTATTCAGAAAATTTTGTAGCTTGAAGGAATGGTTGATACTGGTATGAAAACCCTTGCTGAAAGCAATCAGCAGAAAAAGTGGAAATCAGTTACAACTTTGATGTCTGGGTCACAACTTGCAAGCTCAGACAGCTCCAGGTGATCCAGGAAAGAGCACAGTGCAGTTTAAATGAAAGATGACACATTCACAGGAAACCAAACTGCAGGTGCTCCTTGATCCAGCAGCAAATTTCTCAGGTCAGTTCACAATCTGAATCTTGGCTTCTTCAGTGTGACATATTTCAAAAAAGGAAACAGGTATAAGATAAGAAAGTAGTTAAATTCAGCTGAGTCTGTTTCAGAGATGAATTTGATTCATATTGACACAGCGAACTTCCCTTTCCAATTAGACCCAGAAATGAACTGAAAACAGGAGACAAGCTGCTTTGGTTATGCTCTGGAGAATTTTCCAGTTATTGACTGGCCCCTAGTCAGAGATTGCTACTTGTCACTGCATTTAAATAGTTGCTGAAGCAGTACAGAAAGAAACAGCCCAAATACCTGCCAATTATTATTGCACTAATTGCTGTGGAACTGGAAATATAAGGGAAACTCCCTCATAGAATTCAGTACAGTTGGCTGTTTCAAGGTCGGTACAGTATTGTCTTGCTGAAGAAGCTAAAAATTGCAATGTTGAACTGCCTACTGAAAGAATAGAGGCACAGGAACAAAGGAGAACTAGAAATGATCTAATATCCGCATGGTTTCAGGGTTGTTTTCATCCTATTGTTTCACCCCCTGAATGACACATAATGATGATTTCATTTTGAATTCATTAATATTTTAAATTGCTTGATGCTGCTTTTAAAGCAAATATTGTCAAAGGGAATTGTAAAGCAGAGTTTGGGTGTCACTTGCATTCACCTGGAGCACCACTACACTTTTCCAGTGGGGCTTTAGTACTGTTGACTGTTTTTTATGAAAAAGTTGTATGACAAGTATGGAATCACTGTTGTATTATTTAGCCTACAGCAAATGGTAAAGTGGGCTGTACTGTCCCTGAAGCTGCTAGAAAATGAGACTCATGTGCTCTATTTTGCTTTGCAGTCTCTCCACCCCTCTAAAAGTGAAATAAATTCAGTGAGGAAAACGTGCTGTGCAGCTTGTGAGAAAAAGCTGTGATTTCACCCATTCTCCCCCCTGCTCCTTTGTGGCAGGACACAGACACCATGTCTAAGGTGCTGATCTCTTGCAGGAGGGCTACATCCCCCACTGAGGGACAGGCCGAGGGACAGACAGAACTGTGGGCAGCTCCCAGGTGCTCAGAGACAGCTGGATTTGTTCACCTGGGTAAGTGGCCCTAAGTTAGCTCCTGCTAGAATAAGTGCAACTCATTAGCTAGCAAGAGACACAGGCCACAGCCAAGGGTTACAATACATACTGGGCACCTGTAAGATATTCCAAGCCCCCCTCAAGTAAACACCACACTTTACATTCAGGTTTGGAGGGAATTCCCCCAGCATGTTCTCCCTCTGTTTTCTGTATGGGTTTGTGCAGTCTCACTCATCACCTACAGCAGAATTGAATTCTTTTGGCAAGAACAAGCATGGAAATAACTAGTGTGCTAAACTTTCTTGGGGCTTGCTGCTCATGCTGTCCAATAGGAACATGAGTTTGAAGATAATTAGTGGCTTAATTGCTGTTTTAAATGCTGATGATGGCAAAACAATGTTTAGGCAGCTAAAGAAACACCAGAGCAGCTATGGTTTGTCACTTAATTGCTTAGGGCAGAAAGACTGCCATTTTTAGGCAATAGAATTTAGACCTCTCTCTGGCAAAATTTCTGTCAAGCCTCCTGAAAACCTGCTGATATAAGAAGCACAGAGCAAGGTTCCTGCATGTGGAATATTCTTCTACAAGGAGATACTACTTGGTTTCCTCAGACTGGCCCAAGTGTAATAGCAATCCCACAGCCACAAAACTGAAAGTATCTTTTCCTTTTTTCAACTTCGTTTATAGAAATGTACTGAAGCAGACAAACTAGTGGTTTCTCAAACCATTCATGAGTCACACACACCATCTCTTCTGAGTCAGCTAATCTCTCCACAGCTTCACTTCCCCTGCACACGTCCCCAGACTCTTGCAAGAAATTCTTCCTTTATCCTCTGTCCAGATGTTATTAGTTAGTGAGTATTATGCACTAGTGACTGTGAGGAATGCTGGACTGGATCCTGTGAGCAGTTGTATACATTTAACTGAGATGGAACCAGCTTAAATTTTATTATTTAAAGAACTGAAAAGGCTCCAGCTGTGTTTTCCCCCCTATGAATCTTGTGTTCCAAGTTGGCCTTCTAAGATGCTTGTATGGTGAGTCATGGATTTTGTATGTGCAATGTGCTGTTAAACATGTTATTTGTTTAACAAGCTCACAGAAATTTTGACATCTGCTCCTGTATTTCACATTTATGTTGCCCACAAAGAACTCTCTAGGAGCACTTTGTGCTGCCGTGTTCCAGCTCTTATCAGAAAGGTAACTAAAGCAAGACATTTTTCCTAACCATGGTCACTGAAATGGCCAAATCATCTTTTACTGAAATATTCCAAGAACGTGTGAAGTTGAAGGGAATTGCCTTTGGGAAAGTATCATTTCAAAAAGTAAGAGTTTGGGAGAATTACAAGCAAATTAAAATAGATAAATGCTAACAGCAGTAATTTCTAATTGCTTGTATTATCCTTTACTCCTCTGTGGTTCATCTCATTGTGTCTGACAGACTGTATGGTTTGACTCTTTGGCCCTATTCCAATTCACTCCGTGCTAAAAAGTTTTGCACAGAAATGCAGAGAACAAATATGTAGTCAAATCATCAAAAATTATGCCCTCAAAAGTGAATCAGAGCAAAAACATTTCCCTATCAAGTGCCACTTCTTTCCTCCCAACAGACATAGGGACAAATTTAGCTATTAGAATTCAAGCAGCTTCCACTGGGAGAAAATGGAGTTGTCCTTAAAATAAGGTGTCATATATACTACTTAAATTTTCAAGGCTCTTATTATAAAAAGGTCAACAGAGTTTTCTGCCTTTTCAGGGTTGATCTGTGAATAATATTTAATCAAGTTCTCACAGCTAAAACATGCACTAAATACAGCTGGCACAAACTTTTCAGCATCACAATAATTCCAGAACTAGTACTTCAGTCTTGAACAGGCCCGTCCCTGCAAAATATGGAAGTCCACTTGTGAAACCAGAAGTATCAAGCAAAATTGGGATTAATGTAAAATTTTTATTCGGCATTTCTAGACCCGTATAGAAGTGTTGACTGAAGGAGAGTCAACTCTGGGCTGCCATTCTGGATCTTTACTAAGCTAAAAGATTGCTGAGAGTCACCAGAAACCATAAGGACACGCACATGAAACTGTGACAGTCATTTCCCCAACAGAAACCTGCCCTTTCTCTCAGACATGGTATCAGCTATGCATGTGTGCACAAAATCCATCTCTGCCTACGTATTTGTCCATGTAAAATCGAGAGCCTGACAGTTACAATAATGGAGTATTTAATGTCTGAGCCTTCATATCTGTGAAGATTTTTCCATTAGCACCCTGAATTGGACTGAATTTTCCCTACTGCTCCCTGTTAGGAAAATGGAGAGTCAGCAATGGGAAGAACAAAACAAAATCTATTCTGGAACAAATGTAACTTTTTTTCCTTTCACAGACTAACCACCCCAGTGCTGCCATGGTATTGTTACTCAGCTGCCTGGAGACAAAAGCCTTTCTTTCTGGTCTTCTATTTCTGTTTACCACATTTTATTGCCTTTGCTTGTCTTTCTATTTACACAGTCTAGGAACATGGTATTTTCCTGTTGTCATATTCTATTTTGCAATCTTTTAGAAATATTCAGGTATGTCCTGGGTAAAATATGACAAATGAGTTACAAAACCTGTTTCGAAAAGGTGCTCTAAGTCTCTCTCAGTTTCCAAGATGTTGCTCAATAAATTCTCCCCATAAGTAAATGCTGATTGTGCATTGATGCCATGAATGTGAAGAAAGGACACAGAGGAAAGTCCAAAAGAGGGTAGCTTCAAGAAGAGCAGAATTTCACAGCCTCATTTTCAGGCTTGTAATAGGACTCAGTGTCCCTGTTTCTATTCTCAGACACGTTTCAGAGTCAGACTGTGAAATACCTTGGTGAATTTCTCAGTTTATCTTGCTTCAGTTTTCTTTCTCAAAAAAGAGGTTAAAATGCTGACCAGTACTTGCCAAGTGCTTTGGCATTCTGAGGGAAAGGGCACTCAGGAATTTCAAAGTAGCAGACAACTGGATAACACCAAAGTGACTCATAAAGAATATGTGAATATACAACTGGTCAGCATTAGCTGTTAAAGTCACTGACTGTGAGTCCCCGGATGAGCTGTAGATACTCAGGCATTTCTGTTTCTTTGCACAGAGGTACTCTTGGTCAGTCATCTTCAAGAATCTGAATGAAATGGCAGAGTCTGCTTATCAATGTCTGAACAGAACTGGGTTGCACTTTGCACCTTCTTACAACCAGAGTGTATTTTAAAATAAATTTCAGCTACCTATTACTTTGCAACAGGACATTAAAGGCTAAGCCTTGTCACACAGTTATGCTGTATTTGGTTGTATAACTATGAACTGCAATTCAAAGGAGAGAACAAGGGAGCATCTCATGACTTTCTGTGAAAGAGCTGATGGTATGTGGCATGGGCTGTATGAACAAGAATCAAAACTTAGAGCACTGTCATAAACCAGTGACTGTTCTATAAGGTTCCATCTATATCAACAATTTAATTAAAAAATCTGCAAATGTGCTAAAATGGCAAGAAAGAAGCTCAAAAAACATTTCAAGAGACTACATGCATAAAAAGAATGGCAAGATGAGCTTTTAGCCTGAAGATGCAGTTTCACAGTAGGTAAAAACCATCCTGAAACTGTGCTGCCACTGACAGGAACAAACTGGCTCTGACCTACTGACCCCATAACCCCATTTTCTGCAATTTCCTTTGCTTCAGCGCTAGTGGCCAGGCAGTGAGCAATCTGCTGAATGCTGACATTAGTGATGCTTGGAGCAGGTGACTGGGCTGTATGATCTCCAGAGCTCCCTGCATTTCTCTAACTCAATGCAATGGAAAAAGAGCTACTACAGTTTTGCAGTATTTTTGTTCAGTTTGCAAGGCAAATCACAACTCCAGCAAACTGACTGCCCACCCCAGTACAAGAGGGGAGCACAGTGCTGGAGGGTGTGTGTGTGGCAGAGCAGGACCTCTTCACAGGCATTGTGTTCTCAGCTTGCCTCAAACTAAAAGAGAAGCTGAAAGTTGAGGTAGGAACTGTACATAAAAAACACAGCATGGTTTGGGGGGAAAATGTACAGATGTCAAACCAGCATGGGAACAGGAAAAAGATGATTTTCCTTTGGAAGAAAGGATGAATGCTGGGTGCAGAGGAGAACAGGGGCATTGGTATGACTTTCTGCTGGTATGCCTAGAAAGCAAAATGGTCAGGCTACTACTGGCCATCCTAATCTTCCTGTTGGGAAAGCAGTTTATTGCATGATCTTCATGCAAGTTAGAGAGGGTTTTTAAGGCTTTTTGCTAAAGGTTCCCCTTTTGAATAGCCCTAAAGGTTCCAAAGGGACAACCTCTTCCTGCCACCAAGCACAGGAACCAAGGCCACAGGACTGGTCTCCAGGATACAGTGTTTCAAATTAGCTTCACCCATGTTCCCTTTGCAGAAAACGGCTATCTTGGCTAAACACACCTACTAACTTCAATTCAGGAACTTTCAGTAATTTCCAAACAGAAGCAATGCCCAATTTCTGTGGTTAGCAGAGGACAAGGTAGAAAGTGAACTAACATCTATGTAGAGTGGGAAAAGCAAAAATTCCACAAATGAGTCGGTGTCACTCACTAATGGACCCTTAATTTTGCAAGTATCTGATTGCAACTTGAGGAATTTTGACACTTGAAAGCCAAATATTCACATTACATTATCTGCAGTATAAAAGAGGTTCACATGCTTACATTGCAGGCTTGCATTGTCTACGCTGGTGTGGGTATTTGGGAATTAGCAATACAAGACACACTGAGACACAGTATGGAAATTTACTCTGTAGATTAGACCCAGGAGGAGAAACCTGGTGGGTTTTTTGATTCACCCTTGTTTGTATGTTTGCAGTGAGAGATATTTCATATTCATTTTTACTAGCTGGACCTACGAGGCTGACACTACACATCAAATTCAAGTGTTCATTCTGATAACAAAAATCAAACATGACCATGTGGACAAAACATTGGTGTGAATCTGAAAGCAGCTGCTCATGGCCTACCTACTGCTGCTGGTCTGGTAATCTTTGGTGATGCTCGCTTTGGGGAAGATTCAGGATGTGGAGCAACAGGTTGTACTGGCCGGGTCTGTTTGGCTGCCAGCTTCTTCAGACTTACTTGCCTCTTGTCAAACATTTCTTGCACATCTTCGAGTTTTTGTACAATTCTTTGGGCATTGGCCTTGACAAAGAAAAGGCAAACAACAAATGGTTGTCAGTGCTGGACTGAGTGAGTGAAGAAAGGACTTGTATTACCAGACTCAGACTAGAGCTGGAGATCACACTGTGCTGCAGTTTATTGCAGCCCGGTCCATGCATTCTGCCCAGATCACAGTTTCGCTGACCGAGACGTGGTGACTCAAGCAGTGTTTCTAGCACTGCTCTGAAGAAACTGACGTAAGTGTTGCATGACTGCTCTTATGAGTAAAACTTACTGCCACAAATACTGACCTCTATGCCCTTTTGGAGTAGGGAAAGAAGCAGATTTTAGCAGACTCAAATATATAGCCCAGTACACTTTCATGGACAAAACAATCAGAAATTTTTAACTTCTAGGTGAGCACATGCACCTTTATTTCAGGGGTGAGGATCATGTCAAACTGATTGTAGAACTCCTTCGGGTTGGAGAGCTGGTGTTCCTTAGCTGTTACCAAGAACTTCTCAATTTCAACGAGTGCAGTTTCAGCTCCCTCTTGTGACTGGCACTTGTCCACAGCTTGGGAAGCTAAGAGGTAGATTCCAGCTTCGCACCATTGGCTTGCCTTTAAAGAAAAGAGGGGGAAGAAGACTATCATCACTGAGAGTTCAAGCTGTCAGCTGTTGCTTCTACTCTATGAAAAACAGATTTGCCCTAACATGTCATTAAAAGGGGATCAATGTTACTCATAGTGTGCCTGCTCATAGTTCCTGCCCACAGTCACCCCATCAGCATATGCAGAATTGGACTTGCTGAACTAATGCAAAGCTCCAATATTTATACTAACATTTACTGAATAAAACAGAGAAAAACCAAACAACTTTTTATCTTCATCATAATTACCTGAGCTAATAAAATCCTTCATTTTTAATATAACCTTGCTAGACCTGTTATCTGAGAAGGTTCACTCACCTTATCTAACTGCTTATGCAGCTCAAGAGACTTTCCCAAAATATCATATTTTTTCTTGGTCTCATTGGTAAAGTCATCACAAATCCGCCTGAGTTCAACACACTTTGGTCTAATGGAGTCAACTGCATAATGATTGTTTTGGATGAGCTGTTCTCCATGGAGAGCTAGAGACTGGGCCTTCTCCAAAGGTTCCTGTGAAATTAATGAGAAAAATCCAAATTTAGAATTACATGCATAATAAGGATAATCCTTCTCTGTAACACCTGCTGTAGCCTGGGGATAAAGGTTTGGAATATTAATATAGCTGATATGTCTTATTTTATATTTACATTGAAGGCTAACTTCCATGTCAATGAGTACATTGAAACTCGTGATGGTCCATCTGAACACCAGGAAGCAGATTTTTGTTGTGAGGGTGACCAAACACTGGAACAGGTTGCCCACTGAGATTATGGAGTCCACTTCTTCTTTCTCACATACTGGGGACAATAATTATACAAGTTTTTCCCTACCTTTTTTCCCTAGTTTTCCAAGTAATTAAATGGAACCACTGGGTCTGAAAAACCTTGGCTTCTGGAAATTAGGATCTGTGTTTTGCAATTTAAAGTAACGACTCATGAGATGAGGGTAAATCTGGACCAAAAAAAAAAAAAAAAGGACAATAACAAGTGTCTAGAATACCATGTCTATAGCAGCTAGAATACTAAATTGAGTGCAAACCTGTCCTTTCTCTTCCAGATGTTTCTGTTCCTTGAGGAGGTTCTCAACTCGAGTCACACTGTCTCCAATGTCAGTAAAACCTGCTTGTGTTTCCATGAGGTTATCCAATGTCAATTTTACCTAAAAAACAGCAACAACAAAAACATAAACCAAAAAAAAATAAACCCACCCAAAACCCCATCACAAGATACTGATAAAAATTACAACAAACATTCACCTACATCTCTGAGAAGAGTCTGCATCTCAAGTTAGTCTTTCAGTTTGTTCCAAAATGGAAAATCCAAGGAATAAATCAACAGCCAACTGTTCTTCAAAGAGTTTCCCTGCTTCTCACTAATTAGGCCCACAAAGTTTTGACAACCTGTAACTCCAAGGTTTATATCACTTCAGAATCTGTATTACTGCAGTCTCTGGGCTGACACTGGGCTTTCTGAACTGTTTTCCCTTTACTCCAGTGGAATTGATGATTTACCATCACAGAAGAATTTATGTTTGATAACTTCACACCTAAATGCAAAATTATTTATCAAGATAAATTTACTTATTGGTGTTCCACATTTTGCCCTCACAGGCTGGCACTTTCCTCACTCTGCCTTAGTCAACTGTTGTAAGACATCTGAAAGCTGTCAAGACTTTAATTTTTGAATATTCATTTCCTATTGCATAATGAAGATCTTCTCTCCCAACCTCCTTTTTGGACTGCTGGTATACTCTTAAGTATGGATAGAATTTGACCTTATTTACCAGAGAAGGCCAGACAGCACGAACAAAGAAATACCTCTCTAAAATCATGTTCAAAGTGTCGAAGCTGCAGGCACTGTTCTAGTTTTAGATGATGCTTGGTCCAAAATTGATCAAAAGCCTTTTCTGTTTCATCCAACTGAGCCAGCAACCTGTTAAGAAATTAAAATGAACAGAATGCACTTATTTCCTACAGTTAATTTCTTTTAAGTTACAGTAATTCATGGCAGAAAGCAGAGCAGGGAGATGGTGGGGAGCCCTAAACTTATGTAAGAGGGCTGTGTGTCAACTCTCCCATAAGCAAAAGAGAATGAAATTTGCAGTAGGACAGGTGGGAATGTGACAGATGAGTGACAACTACATGGATCTACTGTGGCAGAGGCACTTGAAGCTGTTCCATGTGCTGGCAGCCAAGGGCAGCTGTCACTCCCTAGCTTCCACCCAATGCTTCAAAGATAATCCGTCCCCAAATGATGCAGATTAAATATTATGCAATTATTATTTTATGGAATGATTAAACCAGAACTCTACAACTTGTTAATTTTCTTCACCATTCAGAAATAGGCAAGGGCTGAATAATTTTTCCTAGTCCATTAAAAACAATAGATTAGGAGCTCATAATTACTCCCATGGACATTGTTTTACTTTGTGTAAATGATGAAACATTGATTTGCAAAGACATTAATCTCAAGGTGTCATATCTTCAGTAAAATATCTGACACCAGGCTAGTGAGTCATCCTCACAGTTTCTCAATGATCCATTAATTATGAAGTAGAACAGTTTTAAACAAGTAGAAAAAATGAAAAGGAAGTGTTCTCTGAATATTTTGTATTTCAATAGATGGGCATTCTTTGGGCAGATAGGGGATCAGTGCATGCTGAAATAAAGTTATTGGGTCAAATGCCAATAGCTCCCTCCTATTTGTCTCAAAAACAAGTTTCTGTTTTCAATCTATCCCTGGAAAACTTCTTTTTAATCAAAGCTAGTCCTTGAATTCACAAATTCCTTTGGGATGACTGTTCAAAGGATTTTAAAGTATTCAGTGAAAAATATCAGCTCAGCTTTACTTTTAGCACCTTTGTTCCCAGTGAATGCAGACACACTGAAACCCTAGCATGGCATTTCTATTTGCTCTGCATCACATGGCACAGCAGAAACTTCTACATGGTGACTAAAAGCTTTATGGTAATAACTAGCATTGTAGGAAGGAAAGGGGGGTTCTCTCTCTATCTCTGCATCTGTGACACACAGAATGTTTCAGGTATCATCTTCATCTGCTCCTCCCCCACTGTTTCCATAGACACTCACAAGCACATCAGCCACTCATCTCACAGAGACTCAGGTACTACTTTCTAACCAGGCACAGAAGTTTGAAGGACATACATGTTATGGAGAAAATAAGTCTCACCTTAAATCTTCAGCCAGGTAGTTAGTGGTCTGACCAAAAATTACTGAGAAATTCAGGACTTGTTTTAACTTGCCTTGACAGTTTAATCGAGTCATTTCCTCTAAGCTATTTCCTTCTCTGACTTACCTGTCCATAAATCCTGAGTACGCGAACCAGTGGTAATTTATAACCTGAATATTTAAATTATTTAAATTACATTTGCATCTCCTAGGAATAAATTAACAAGTTGCACAAGGTAATTTAGATCCACTGACCTTTCCACTGTGGCCACATTTTCCAGTTCATCTGGACTGAGTTTGCTGTTGGCACTTCGGGTGACTGGCTCCCGGATGCATGTCAGTAAGGTGGCCCCCTGCTTCACTGCTAGCTTCAGCTCATCCTGAGGGGAAAAAAACCAAGCCAAAACCCAAATTGTATGTACTTCTAACAACACATCTCTTAGATGACAACAGAGTAATGATAAAGGATGATCCTTTCATAGGTACAAAATACTTGAAACAAAATATAAATGCTTACCCAAGGTGGTATGTTTTTCTAGCAAATGCAGAGACCTAACTCTTTTACCTTTGAATAGTAGATCTATTTCTGAGAACAGGAATAGAGTAATTCTGAGCAGATTGAATATCTGACCAGGCCACTTGCAGAATAAATTATTCTACCAAGAATTGAATGTATGCTGTAGATTATGAGCTGAGAGATTGGGCTGAGACATTTCATTTCTTAATGGAATTTCATTAAACAACATTGTGCCATGCTGAGCCATAGTACATAAGCTATAAGAAGTCATCCACAGAAGTGTCTTCCCAGCATGGAGCAATAAAAAAGATAATGAGGCTCAAACATAAACTTGTCAGATGACGAATCCCCACATCACTGCACAGTTCTTCCATAAAAATTGTTCTTGTGCTAATACAGCTTAGGTAGTATTTTTAATCTTGTGTTTAACCTAAGGCATTTGCTGACAGCAGTAATATTTACTTCTGATCCTTACTCTGCAAAGCCAAACTAGACCCAACTTTTTTTTAAACAAAACAACAGCCATCATCTAGTTAGATCGTTCTGTCTATTCCTGACTATCCTCACAGATGTTCTCTGTTTCTGCTCCAATATAAGTCCATCCTTTCTGGTGAACTCTTCATGCTATTCCAGATGTGATCCCATTACTCCCTCTCACACAGTGAAAGTGAGACTTCCCTATTGTATCATTCCTGAAGCTGTAAAATGTCCTTTTCCACAGCTGAATCGAATTGACCTCCTAAACCCAGGTGTCTGTCCTCCTCCTCAGTAGTTTCCAGACAATGGGTTGCCAAGGAATGGCAGAAAATTTTGTTAGATCAGAGCTCATCTATTACACTGCTGGAGCCATCATGGGGCAACAATCACCTTCAGCTTGCTGTGGTGCTCAGTGTGTGAGGAGAGAAGCTCCTCTGTGCACTGCACATCGTTGGGAAGTTCAGTCTCTGCTAAGTCTGTTCCAAAGGTCTGTAGCATCTGTGCTGTTGTTTTTACTGTCATTGCAAAGTTTTCAATGGCCTGGAAAAGCAAAAGCATAAAGTCACAGATTGGTTATTTACCCTTAGCCCTTTAACAACATTTTGTGCTTCAGGCACACCATGCTGCAAGTATTACATGCCTGTAAAGCTGGTCACATTGCCTTTTTTTGGGTGGACGTGCTTAAAGTTACAAATTAAACCATGTGTCACAAATGACCTTTTCACAGGTCTGCACATATTGTTACCTCTGTGAGCCAATGGGGAACTCCCAGAGCTCAGCAGACATAATGAAACCACAGAGGACATCAGCTTCAAAGGCAGGCCTGGAACTTCAGATCCTCTGCCTATGCTTGCTGGGAAATTCTCCTCCATTTAAAATTTTAATGAAGGCTTTATTTAAGTTGAGAACACTACTAAAATATATAGGGCAAAGCCTTTATATTTATACAGCCATTGTTCACTCAGCAGTAATCTGTCTTTCCCTGACTTCTGAATATGTGCTTTTCCATCCTGCCTATCTGTACAAGATGCATTCTAGTCCCTTCCTCCCATCTGTCCATGCTAGTACACAAATACAGGAACAAGTAACTACAAATACAGTTAAAATGCATAAATTCATAGGATCATTGCTGTTTCTTTTTCACTTGGGTGCACCAATGCAAAACTTGTCAGAAATCTGGTTTTTATGAAGAATGGGGAAGTGAGGAAGGCTAAAAAAACACAATGCCACCTTTTCAGAGCAGAATATAATGTTCAGACCTGTGGCATGAGATTAAACCTTTATATCTAGTAGCAAGTAACTGCATGGGATGTTTTTCCATGATCATGCTCAAATCTGGGGGTGGTTGTGTTATTCTGTATAGCTCTTTATTCTTTGTACATTTTCATCTAATCCCCCACAGGTTTGAGTCAGTCAACGAGCACTAGGGATGCTCTTGCACCCAATGAAACACTATGTAGTTGTTGCACACTGCATTCCTTTTTCCAGCAATGATGGGAATTCACTGTTTGCAACAGTGACAGAAGAAATTATGCTTTGTGCTCAGTGAAAAACAAACTGGGGGTAGATCACCATTCAAAAGGTGTAGAGAGAAATTAGCCCACATTTGTGGTCTCAATCATGCCCCCCATGAAGGAATGCTAGCAGAGTTCACAGCCTTCTTCCCTTTTCCCCCATAAATTCATGTCTGCTTTCAACACAAGCAGCACAGACCCACACATGCTCTATCTTGGTGCTCTGCAGCTGTATGCTGCTGTTCTCAGCACTGAAGCTACTGGATTAGAGTTGGCTGGAATGTCACACTTCTGACTGCAACACAAGACGTGGCCATTCATGACCAAAGGCCATTTACTGAAAGCCAAAAATGCACTCTGGGGCCAAGAAAGTCCATAGGCTCCTGGCAGCCAAGAGAGAAGAGCAGAAACAGGGAGTGATGCAAGGAGGGTGCTGTGTCACTGGCATTTAGCCAGGGTGTAAAGCTTTTTCAGAAGAAAAGCACTGGCAGGATAGGATATGAGGACACTGAGAGAAGCAGCAAAGGGCATGAAGACCATAGCTCAGCAAGACTGGAAGTCAGATTGTTTCAAGGTGCAATGGAAGCAGACATTTCCCTGATGACAGCCTCTTATCCAGCAGATATTCCTTGGCTGACTGCACCATGAACTTGTCAGTGTTTCACTTAATAGCATGTTTGCCCCCACTTTCTCCTGTGTACATGAGCAATAAATTGTTTCATGTACCTAAGTTACATCTGTGGATTGTTTTTTTTTCCAGTTTCTGTGCTTGGTAAAAATTTTTCCAACAAATTTAACCAAAACCTCTGGGGATTATACAGCCCTACTGCCCTAAATTCTTGGCTCATTTTGTTTGCATATTTTTCCAAAATATGTATTATTTCTTTATGTAAACCCCTGTCATTAATAAGTAATACAACCTTTCTTGTGCCTCTTTTTATCCCCCTTCATATTTTCAAACCTTTTGCTGTTTGAAAGCTCTTATAGATGATTCATTTCTTCACACTCCCTCTTCCTGCAAGGACAGTTTCATATTTTTGATGCTTTTGACACATAAGCCTATTCACTCATCTCAACCTTAACCTCATTATAGTCAACACAGTTATAAATGTAGAAAATCAATGTTAGACAAAGTTCAGATTCTATGTTTGCATATTCAGAAGCCTGAAATATTTGTTGGCTCTCAAGGAGACTAAAATTTAATTTTATAAGGACAGCAAAGCACGAAAACTATAGAAAGAAAGTGACAAAAATGCAGAAAAGCTCTTTTTATGAGTTTGGTGTAACCTGCCCAGTAGCAACCACAGACTCAAACCCAGGGCTGCTCAGAACTTTGCAAAATATTGAGGCTCACATTGGATGTGTGCTGTAATATATCTTATAGTCTTGCAAGTAGACCCACAAAGACAGATGCAAACATTGTATAAACTCTCTGTGAAATTAATTACTTTTCAAGGATTGTGACCCAGCTTAGCCCATTTTTGCTTAGGAAGATTGAAACAATATTTTGTCTGCTAACGTGCTGGAGTTTGGAGTCTGTTTTTTGTGAACTGTCATCTTAACTGGGCACCATAATGAATTGTTTACATTGTTTTGAAGCAGGCACTGAAATGCATTAACCAGCCCAAAAAGGGAACAATCAAACCTGTACAAGTTTCCTCAACAGAACAAAAAATATTTTGCCTTCCTACTAACAACTGTTCTTCAGTTACCCAAAATAAGACCCAGCTGGAGTGCATGCTTGTATAGTGCAGAAATGAAAAATAAAATATAGTGCCCTGAGTATTTTTATTCTCTTAAAAGCATGGACATAATTAATCATTAAAGTGAGACTTTTGACCTTACTTTTGACCTTTGTAAAGTCAGCAAAGTGCTACAGCCTATTTTCAATTTCAGCTGAAGTCCTATGAATGCCATCAATTATTTAAAAGGCAAGAGAAGGCCTTGCTGAGTAAGAATAGCACGACACTGTTAGGCCCTGGGCCAGGTACACAGTGAGATGCAATTACTGCTTCCCTTACAAACTTTTGGGGAATTTGCCTTTCTCTGAGTCATGGATTTCCTCTTTCCCTGGGTCCCTAGCAGAATCCATAGGCTGTAATGCAACTGAAAAGCTCCTGCTTAATGGTTGCTCTGCATTTGTCCCTGGGACAGTCGAGGAGCAGATGTGCAAGAGCAGCAGCACTCACCGTGCGGTGATGGATCCACTGGCTGTGGCCGTACTCCAGGGTTCCTCCCAGCTCCCGGGTCAGCTGGCTCTTGTCAATGTAGCCATGCAGATCAGAGACAGAATTTAACATGATGATCTGAAACGAATCCAAACACACTGGACTGAGAGAAATAACATGCCTTTCAGTCATTGTTCCTAGGATTGGGGTTTGCCTGAACATGGATGACCACTGCAGTTCCACCAGAGGCTATCAGTTCTCATCTTGCATTTTGTCATGCCATGGCCAAAGTTTATTTTCCCTACATTTTGCCTTCTCAATGTGTACATGGACATTCTTGAACCAACCTTGGTTTGACATCATCTTCCTCCTTGCAGGGCTGACTCATTTTGCCTGTGCATCAAGAGCCAAAGTATGGTATTGATAATGTTCAGACAAGGTTCCATAACATATTTTATTCTCTAGATAACACTTATTTACAGAGAAATAGAGGCACAGGCAAGTTAAACAGCTTCTTCAACACCAACCACTTGATCCAGGGAAGTGCTGAAATGAAACCATTGAGAATAAGATTTTTCGTTCCATTTTCAGAATTTTTTTTGGCACTGTATGTTCACTGAATTCACTGGCATTTTTCCATTTAAAATCATAATGAAAAAGAAAGGAGAAATACAGCCAGATCAATTATTTTACTTTAGAATCTCCTTACCACTAGACTTGCTTGAAGAAAGCCAAACAAGACTTGAGTTCAGCTTCAGATAAGCAGCATTAACTTTTGGCAACCACTGTAAATTTGTCAACACAAGTGGTTACACAAGTAATACTTGTTTATTGTTGTTGCAACAGCTAGAAGATATGCCATGATTTCAGCAACAGAAGAATAAAAAGTTGTGTAGAAATGACTACGAAGTTTAAATAAATAAATATCAAAAATATGTCAAATGTGTTACTTGATCCTATTTAAAGAAAGCTTAAGTGGCTCTGCATGTCAGCAGGCTCCAATGGTGCATGGTAACTACACTGACAAACACTGGACAGTGAGATGAGTGTAGATGTATGGAGACAAGAGGATGCATATTCTAGGATAAGAGTTCTCTAAGAAAAGCCTCAAGAACAAACCTGGACACGTTTTTAGCTGGTCTTTGTTACAGAATCTTTCTAATTCAGGTTGGCGGGAACCTCAACTCTCTAGTCCAACTTTTTTCTCAAAGCTGTGTCAGCTGTGAGATCAAACCAGGCTGCTCAGGTCTTTATCCACCTAAGACTAAAAACTTCAAAGTATTGAGACTGTACAACCTCTTTGGGCAGTCTGGTCTGTGCCTGACTGTCTTTGTGGTGAGCAAGTTTTTACTTATGTCAAGTCAGAGCTGCCCTTGTTTCACTTTATGTCAGTTATTTTTTATCCTGCCACCACACACAAGCTGGCTGCAGTGCCCACTAACCCAGAGGGACTGGAAAGCTGCTGCTATATCATATTAACCCTCCCAAGCCTTCCCTTCTCCACATTAGGCAAGCACAATTCCCTCAGCATCTTCTTACAGAACACATGCTCCAAGTCCTGACCTTCTTGGCTTTCCAAGATTACTCCAGATTAATATTTTTATTGTACTAGGGGAACCAAAACTCAGGGTGTTCTCAATGTGAATTAATTAGAGCCAAGTAAAGGGGGATGCATAGTTGTCTCAACCTGTTGGCTATGCTCCTGTTCATACTGCTCCTGTTAATGCAGGATGCTGATGGCTTCCTTTGCTGCCAGGCCACACTCTGGCTCATGTACAGCTTGCTGTCTACCATGTTTCCAGCTCCTTTTCTGTAGAGATGCTCCCCAGATAGTCAGGCTACAGTGTGAATTGTCAACCACACAACTGTTGCGTTGTCGGAAGGGAAGAACATGAGTTCTTGAGTAAGAAAATCCTTGTGGAAAGAAACTCTTTCCCAGTTGCAGGACTTTGCTTTGCCCCTTTGGTATATATAAAATAATATGCTGGCCAGCCCATTCCTTGAGTTTTTGTTCCAGTGGCCCTGTCTTGGAGCATACCATGTGCTCCTCCTGGTTTAGTGTCATTTGCACACTTGATGACAGTGCAGCCTGTTGCCTCTTCCATGTCATTGATGAAGGCATCAAGCAGGGCAGATCCCAGCAGATATCACTCACTACAACACTCCACTTGCTGCCCACTTCCAGGCAGAGTATGACCCATTACCATTACCCTCCTAACCCATCATGAAACTAGGTTTTAAAACCACATGTAGTTGTCCATCCATCCAGACTTAAACTTGACTTGGATACAAGAATATAGTGGAGGATGCATCTAGCCCCAGGGAGCCATACAGGCTGAAAACTCTCAAGTAGGCCCTCACTCTGTTCTTTTTCACTTCCAGCAGTTCATCTTCTCCTTAACCCCTGTCTTTAAACACAGAAACAAGATCATCTTGTTGGTGAAGAAACTGTGGCAAAGAAAGGTATCTCAGCCAAAGTTAAAGGAAAAACTGTTCCCTGAATGTGTCATGAAACATTGTTCTGTTATGATCAAAGCCAGAAAGCTCAAAAAGCTGCATCATCTTGAAAAGGCCTCACACTGGAACATAAAGTCTATGCACTAATTCTGAACTGGAAATCACATTTGAAAAAGTAAATCTTAACTGCTTTGTAGCTCTTCCCCATCAGAGATGTTGCTGACAAGATGGAACTCTTCTGATACTTCAAACCTCACTGAAACCACAGAGGTACACTGTTATGCAGTTTTCTTTTAGAAAGAATTTTATATTTGTTTTAACTTGGTACGCTCAGCATGAGCCACTAAACAAACCTATTAATATTGCCAGCTATGGTGCTACCCAACGGGGTGTGGGTCTTCACCATGCAGGCATTCCTGCAGGAGAAAGCCTATGAGCAATCCAGCATCCATCTAAAAAACCAATCTAAGTGAGCATTAGCATCTCCCATGCTGCTTGCCAGACAGGAGACAGTCACAGTCAGTCACCTGGAGAGTGCAAAGGAGCAGGAGTTTAGAAGAGAAGGATCAGTGTGGAACATGGAGCTGTGGGGGGGCTGATCTGGATGGGTTAGGCTGTCAAAAAGAAGTCACAGCCTACAAAGCTCAGGGAAGTACTTGCTGTGGACAGATTGTTCAGACTTTTCTGTATGTTCTGAAGATACTTTAATTCACTTCCTATGACGGGATGTTCCTTGGGTGCATCTCTGGGTGTTTCTTTTGAATTCATAGATTTTAATCTCAGATGAACCCTACTGTGTCTACTATATTTCTATATCTTCATCCTGGCTAATGATATCTACTCATATCACTATCCCAATAGAAATTTACTTGATCAGGTTTTATTACCCACATTTGTATGTCAATGTGATATAAATCCTGCATTTCCTTTTTGTGTCTGGTTGGTAATTTCAGCCTTTATTTCCAGCTCCTGTTTGATCTTCCGGTTTCTACTCATTCCAGTATTGATTTAACCCAGAAAATCTATTTTACTGAGCATATTTGCAGTCTGATAGCTCAAATAAACTATTAAACAAATGTTTCCTTAACAAACACACACAATATTCTTGGAGCTCGTTTTGAATGCTCATGTCTTGGTCCTGACTCACAGCTGTGATAGGAAATGCCACCCATCCACGGGCCAGTTATGACATGAATGTTGTCATAGAGCCAAACACACAACACAAACAAACAACCTGCCAAGAATTTAAAAGATCATGGTGATACTGAAGATAGGTACTGATCCCTAATTCCTTGAGTAAGGACCTCTCCAGTGGGACAAGAACTCTGTGGTCCTGTTCTCCTGCTTGGCACTTAGGATGCTGTTTTCAAGGAGGACAAAGAGATATTGCTCTCAGTAACTTCCCTGCTCTGAAACTGGGGTATGCAAGACGTGCCCAGGTGGTATTTTTAAGATGGGAAACACAGGAGAAAAGCCCCCCCAGAGAGCATGACAGATGCCAGGAACTTACACCACCTGTAGTACAACCCTAAGTAATTTAGAATAGCATCAGACATATGTGGGCAGCCTGTCTACAAATCTGACAGGCTGTCTAAAGACATCTGGGCAGGAGGCGGCAAGCATGTCATGCTCTTAGTTTTTGTAAGGCTGCTCTCTAAGAGCTCTGTGGGCATACCCAGGATGGCTCAAAATATCCAAGATGACCCCACACTAAACTGATATCTTGATTTTCCTGCCTGTAAGAAAGATAAGTTAGCATTTCATACTTAATGCAGTGCTTGACCCCTGCCTAGAACTAACCTCCCTTCCAACTTTGATCCTTTCCAAGTTCTGAAATACAACTCTGATGTCAAATAAATTGCTAAAAGTATACCTCTGTGGTCCTGCTTGGCACTTAGGATGCTGTTTTCAAGGAGGACAAAGAGATATTGCTCTCAGTAACTTCCCTGCTCTGAAACTGGGGTATGCAAGACGTGCCCAGGTGGTATTTTTAAGATGGGAAACACAGGAGAAAAGCCCCCCCAGAGAGCATGACAGATGCCAGGAACTTACACCACCTGTAGTACAACCCTAAGTAATTTAGAATAGCATCAGACATATGTGGGCAGCCTGTCTACAAATCTGACAGGCTGTCTAAAGACATCTGGGCAGGAGGCGGCAAGCATGTCATGCTCTTAGTTTTTGTAAGGCTGCTCTCTAAGAGCTCTGTGGGCATACCCAGGATGGCTCAAAATATCCAAGATGACCCCACACTAAACTGATATCTTGATTTTCCTGCCTGTAAGAAAGATAAGTTAGCATTTCATACTTAATGCAGTGCTTGACCCCTGCCTAGAACTAACCTCCCTTCCAACTTTGATCCTTTCCAAGTTCTGAAATACAACTCTGATGTCAAATAAATTGCTAAAAGTATAGGAAATGCTGAATTGTTGGAAAATGCCAGTCCTTGATGAAGTTGTCCCTTTCTGGGCTGCAGTCACTGGTACAACAGTTGCTATAGCAACAGATTGTGGCATATTAAATATAGGTAGATGCATTTTTTTAAGCACTATAAAATATTTTGGGTTGTATTCAAGCATAAGTTTTTCATTAACTTTGCATTTTACCAAAAAGCCACCCTTACCAAATGACAGTAAATGTTACAATTTAACCACAGTAACCAAATATCTATTCATGCTTCCTTTCCTGTGTGCACTGCAATAAACAGCTGCTGTCTCTCACTTCAGGAGAAGCAGGAAGTGTTTTCAACACCTGAACTTCAAACTTGAGTTTCAATACAGCTAGAATTTGTTAGAGGAGAGCCATAAGTATTTTGCAAAACAACATAAACCCAAAAACAAAGTCCAAAACGTCTGAAATCCCTCCAGTAAAGTTACTGTGAAGCACAATATGAGTCTGATCCAGGATGAAATATCATCAATAATCATAATTCAAGTTTATTTATAAAACTAAAAATTTTGACACCACTTGCAAACATGCAGCTAAAAACAACTCCTAAAAGACCCCTCATAGAATAATCTCCAACTCTTACAGGATAGATAACCTTCTTCCTATCACAGTCTCATCAACCTACACCATATGCCAAGTGCAAATAAAAATAAGTAAAACACAAACTCTGAATCTTGAGGGTATGGGAATCATAAAAGACATTCAGAATAAGCAATGTTACAGGGACAGTCAGTGCTGCCATGGATAACCCATCAAATAGTGCAGAATTCAGCCCTAGGCTTCTGCTGCTCTGTATTCCTGAATATTTATGTTTGTCACTGGAGTGGGATCTACCTCTGCCTACAAGAAGGGAACATCTCCACTGAATTAAAATGCCAGTACTTAAAAACTGAGTCACATTTTATAGCTAGACTGGACATAGAAACATGCCCATTAAACACTATGAACCATCCACTTTTAAATAACTCTTTGGCATCACCCCACAGACCCAGATGAAAGGCCCCAGGTGCCACTTGCAATCCTGGGTTATGGGAAATTGCTGACAGCCCAGAACTGCAGAAATGGAGAAAAGAAAATGGATGGACAAAAAACTGCATGCTTACCGGTACCTTCATTTTAAAGTCATCTCGATAGAGTTTAATGCCAATGTCAGCGATTGCCCTTTGGATAAAGCGGGAGGGTCTCAGGACAAACACCAGCTGCAGGTTTCCTGGAAATGCTCCCTGCAAGCAATATAGAATTCTTAGAAGGCACATTTCTACCTTGCAAGGGAATTTTCAGCCAAGTGTATCCTCACCAGTAGGGCTAAGTAGAAAGGACTTCTGCTCATTGCCTCAGCTGGTCCATTCAGCATGTGCTCATAGTCACTATTTCCAAACCCAGCAGGAAGACTGACCCATGGATTTTACTGCCCAGCCACACGTTATTTCATAATACAGATTTATCACAGTGCTCCAAAGTTCCTGACAAGTGCCTTTCTCCCCCATATCCAAACCCCACCAAGCCCCATTTGCACCACCACACCATAAGGTTTCCCATTTTTAGGCTGTAGCCACTAGAGGGCAAAGCTGGCTGCCCGCGTTGGTCTGGTGAGGGAAGCTGGTGGCACAGATGGATTCCCCAAGCTGACCTACCTATTCACTCTGCAAAGGGTTTTGAATCTTTTTAACCTCACATATTTTTACACACAGGCAGGCACTCAACATGTTCATCAGATATGGCCCTGCCTGCAACACCCAGCCTACATCTCTCACACTCCTCTGAGCTCATCAAGCATAGAAAAAGAACAATTTCTTGAAGAGAGCAGCAAAAAAGCCTGAGAATGAAAAACATTTCTGTCTAAATACCTTGAAAGAACTTAAAGTCGCCTTTGTCATCCTGCATCCTACACCTCTGTGTGTAAGTGCTTGGTCCTCACACAGTAAATGTTCCTAGTAAGTGATGTATATAAAACCAGCTGCTTTTTTCAGCACTGAAAATCAGTGCCCAGCTCTGAGTTTTGCAAATAAGCTATTAAGAGTTTCTGACAGAGATCGTTTACTACTGTGCAAACACAAATCCCTTGGGATCTATTTCTTTCATAAGCAGGCCACATCATTCCCTCCTCAGGGCACAGAAGGGGTACCTCTGAATACTCCTCTAGGAACCAACTTCAAATTACTAGAATTTATATTGCAGTCAACCCAGAAAACAAGGAATTTGTCCTAATTCAGCAGTAAACAAGACTATGTAATTTGTCTCTGCAGCTTCCTCCCTCTGTTATTTAACACTTACGAGCTGCAGGGCCGAGGAGAATCTGCATCCACAGCCAGAAAATAGGAGCTTAAAATGAGCACAGGAGGCTGGATCGTGTGTTGAAGGTTCAGCAGACAATTTTAATTTCTAGAAGATAAATAACAAAAGCAAGCACTTACTGCTATTCGTGTCAGGGATGCCTTGACTGCACTCCATTTGTCCCGTCGTCTGTCTATGATGATGATGAATCCGATGCTGGCAGCCTCCAGACTGCAAAACAGATGAAATAGGTGTGCTGGGTTACAGGGAGACACTCCTGTTCCAAGGCAGAGAGCTGCAGCAAAACACAGCCTCCGTCACAGCACGCTCGGAGCCCATTATGAAAACACAACGTACAGTGGAAAGAATGAATATTTGGCAGAAACGCACATGAAAAGGAAAGCCAGCAAAATTTCTCTTTCCAGCATGAGGCTAGCAGCTTACACAAAACATGAATATTTTATCTGCTGGATCTCTCAGCTGCTGTGCTACTCTGCTGCCAGTCTAGGTGACATGAATAGTTCAGGATCACAAATTACACTGTGCTCTTTTGAAGACAAAACCCCCAGATATTTTTATTTCCCTGCAAAATTAGACACCTCCCTACAGTCTTCATTCTCCAAGTATGCTGACACCTGAAAGGGGCACTGAGCTCCAGGGCATCAGTATCCCCTGACTTGTGTACACAAAGTCCCAGGAATTCTGGTAGGCAAAGCAGAAAACGAAGAGTTCTGTTTTGCCAATCACAAACTTGTTCTGGGGTTGCAAGTCATTCAAAACTATCCTTTTCAACATATCAGCTAGAATAACAGTTCCTGTTCCTTCTCAATGCTTTTCAAGGAGGATCTAGGAGGTAGTGATTTGGTGCTTCATTCCACCTATGTAGACTCCATCCTCTCTTTCCCTCTCAAAAATCCTACTCTGGAGTGCCCGGTTTCAGTGGGACTGCTCTTCTCTCTGCCTTCCAAGAGCACTCAGCGTTGGAGAAGCTAAGAAGTACACACTGAGTATCCAGAACCTTCACCAGAGCAGGATAGCTCAGTCATCTCAGGACAAACCAGAGACAGGCAGGAAGACTAAAAATGTCACAATCAGAGGACATACTGTAATCAAACATCTTATCACAAATTAAGGAAAAAAATGGTTTAAAATGTCTCCTTGATCCCTATTCCACTGTCCATACAAGGACCAACTCAGGAACTGTTTCCATGGGTCATTTTATCCAAAGTCATGTCAATAATCTACTGAAGACTATCAACACAGTAACAACTCTGAGCTCTTGCTGCAGCCTTGCAGGATCAAAAACTGAAAGCCAAAGTATTGTGCAAAACTGGGATGCCATGTGAATGCTCCTAGTAGTTCATACTGATAACAGGAAAACTCACTGAATTTTCCAATTTAGTATTTTTACAGCATTCCTCTGAGGTTTACAAAATTCAATGACAATACATGACCTTTCCTCTTCAGTAGTGCAACATGCAGCTCTCTGCAGAGGACAGAAAATATGTTTGCAACAGTGCCTCTAAAACACAGGGAAGAGAACTCATCTGTTTTACCTTTTATAAATACACAAAGGTATACATACTCTTCAGTAGTCTTAGATATACACAAACACATACACATGCTTCAGTAGCTCAACAAATATTCAACAGAATAAAATTCCTCGATAATGTTCAAATAAAGTTAACAAGGATATTGTGTGTGTTGCAGATTGTTACAGAAACGGTGAGAAACTAAACACAAAAGTGTCAACCTGGGCCCTTCACCTTCAAATGACGTTCAACACACCATCAGTTGTTGTCACTGAGATAAGCCAATGGTACTTGTATGTTTGCTTTTTGATGTGGAGGTTTTTTTTTTGTTTTGCTTGTTTGTGGGGTTGTTTTTTTTGTTGTTGTTGATGTTGTTGTTGTTGGGGGGTTTTGAGGATTTTTTTCTATCTTTTTAGCTAGATAGGACTGACTGAAGTCCTAAATTTAACCAGGGAAACAGAGAGCGTGTCAGCAAGTGATCCTATTTCAGCAGCATGCTGAAAGGCCGTGCCAAGGTCTGAATGTCATTTGGCACCAAGGGATGGAAGCAGGCACACAGCCATGGGAAGAGGCCTGGCCGAGATGGCAGCATCAGCACAAGTGGATGTACAGCTGAGAACCCCCACTCAGTGTGCATCCAGAGAAAGTTTGTTGAAGAACAAACACACACACACATTCTATCAATGTTTGCTCAGTGTCAGTACTGTAATATCTCTACCTTCATTATGAAAATGCCTTGGGGTTTCTCCAGTTCTCTGAAAAGGAGGATTTGAAGACAATCCCAAAGAGCAGATAAACATCAGGCTTACCTCCAAAATAAATTCTGGCACATTTGCCCAGATCTACAGATGTTTGGCAGAAAGGTTCTCTTTCCCTGAATGAAATATCTGCAATCAGCAGAACTCTTCCATCCTCAGCTCTATATTCAGGTTTGCCCTCGAATACTCACTTGAGATGTTGAATTTCCTGACCTCTTTTGGAAGGAGAAAAGGACATCTGTTTATCAAAGTACTTAATCCATGTCAAGTTAAGGAGAAAGAAATTCTGGCCATGGAATAAAGCAAGTAAAAAAGGGCTTTCTGGAGCTATCTAGTGCATGCACAGAGACATGCATGTGCACACCCATGTTACTGAGTGTCTGTGGATGTGTTTGTATGAAGACTCCTTTGGTGCAGCACTCTCACAAGCAGGTGTTGAACCACAGGGAAAATGAATCAGGTTACAAAAGTCTTACTGGGCTGATCTTCAATCCTATAATATGTTTTGTCAGATGAGCATATAAGATTAATCATTCCAGAAGGACTTAGAAAGTTACTAAGTGTTAGTAATGTAAGTGATGTTATCTGCAATCACAGAGCTTATCTCCACAACTAGCATGGACCTTATTGTACAGGATATGCAAAATCAGACACTATAAAAGACAGATATTCTCTCTACATTTGCCTGGAAAATGATGCTGATTTCTCTGGTTCACTAAGCTCTGAAGAAGTATTTTCTATGATAAATAGGATGAACTGCTTTTCAAACTATACCTCATCTCACCTGATTCATGGCCATACCCTCTGTAACTCCAGAAGAGTTAGAGACAGCTCTCTGTTCTTAGTCACTTTGTTGGATACCTTCACATCTTTCTTGAGAATTAAAGCAGAAGGTGGACTACTAGCAGTGAAGCTACACACACAGGAATACTGTTATATTACACACAGCACTAGCTAGTACAGTAGTGCTGGCAAAAGTAACAATGCACACCTTTTACTGCTTGCTGAGGTACATGGCAAAGACTCTGTGTGCATGGACCAAGCCAACTGCAGATTGACAGAGCTCTGCTGCACCCAAACAGGTCCACTACTTAGGCCTCATTGAGTTTGAGCTCTATATAATTATGTCATAAACCACACAAAGCTTTCTGCTCAGGATCTTCTTCTAAATTAACATCTTTCTTCCTCACCATTTACAGAGATAGTGGCAAATTTCAAATGGTGACTCAAGAAATGTAGGCAATCCTTCTAAAAGCACTGCAATAAAGACTAGAAAATTTCTTGGAAAATTCACATCCCTTCAGTGTGGTCTAGGTTCAAACCTAAGAGCCAAACCAATGTGCTGGTACGCAGAAAATGTACCTTGAAACCCCAGCTAGTCAGTGACCTTGAACAGGTAATTTAGAGCAAACTGAGCAGTCACTTACTCAACAAAAGTTTTTGTGAGCCTGCCTGTAGAGTGATGTATTACTCACATATATGTCATAATCTGTAAAATAGGTATATCACAGCTCTCCTGACTTACAAAGTTTGTTCATTCTTTGCACATGGCTCTGGGATTCCTCAGGGGAAGAGAAAGCAGAGAACTGGAATTGAAACAAAGCAAAAGTCCATCTAGTTCAACACCCTGAGCCCAGTGTTGGTAGATAGTGGCTACTGAGACAAAGGCAGCAGGAAAACGAGAAGGCCAATATTTCTCTTGGTATATTCTCCCAAGCCCCAGCATTAAGGAATAAATTACTTCCTTCAGCCTGGGTTTGCATTTGAGCCATTGTGTCCAGCTGCCATTGATGGAGCAATCCTTCATGAATTTGGCTTATTTCTTTTGAATGCATCTGTGCTTTTGGGCTTCTCACAGGCTGCAGAAGCTCAAAGCATTTCTGTCTATCATGTTGACAACGTATCATGCTGGTTCCCCACATGTGACAAAATCACAGGGAATCATCTCCCTGCATAGCAAGTACAAAGAACTGAAAAACTACTTTTATGGTTTTCTCAGCCACTGATGCTGTTGTCTATACCCTGAGGCTGGTCACCCTCCCAGTCCTGAAGGAGTAAAGAAATACTGAGAACAGAGTTTCCCCTGGCGAACAGAAGTCCCACAGAGCAGAGTGAAACAATGAAGCTGTTAAGTTCGCAGTATGTGGTTTCTCTCAGCTTGCTTTGGCGACTCTGGCAACAACTTTGGCAAATACACGGAGGTGGAGCTGTAAAACTTCTCACTCAAACTTGAAGGAGGCACGTTTTCAAGCACCTTTTTGCAGAAGACCACAGGAAATGATAAATAATTGCTGTGCTTCTCATTATTACAAACAGCCATGGTCTAGAGACAGGATCAGGGGACTGAAAAAATATTAAGCTCTCTTAGATAAGCAAAAAGTAATTCAGCAGTCATGCTTTTCATTTCCTCAGAGGAGGGGAACTCAAGTTTGTTTCACTATCCTTATAAAGCTGCAGGCAAAAAGCAAGGAAAACATCCTGGCTGTGGAGCAATCTCCAAAGAAATGAAGTGCCTGAAAGCACATGGTGCTTGCCAGAATCCTGTCAGTGGGGCACCTCACTTGCTTTCTCAGCAAGGGGAAAGCTGCACAGAAAGGTGCACTCAGAGGAAAAGCAGTCATGGGGCCTATGTAAGTATGGCTCCTTCCTGAAGCAGCCCTTCCCTCATTACATCCAGAGCCCTTGAGGCTTTTCACAAACACCCCCCTTTAGCTCCCTTTGATCTGCCATCTTTGCTGCTGCTCTTCAGAACTATTCCTGTCCTAATTCAGTTCAACATGCCCTGTTTGAAGCTTTCTTTTCCATGAAAATGACATAATTCCTAGGGCCTCTGGTGTATAGGGAAGTTTCATAATGACTGGAGAGATGCAGAGGCACTGGTATGTCCTGGTAGCACAACTAAAATCAGTGAGCCACTGGGAAAGCAAAACTCTCTAGGAAATCAACAGAAATTTGTGCTTAGTCTCACCTGGGAATGCTGGTTAGATAAGTGACCACATTCAGAAAATCGTCATCAGGTATCTCACTGAATCCTGCAAATTCTGGAAAGGTTATAATGGGTGCCCCATCCTTCCCTCTTCCTCCTGCAAAAAAAAAAGTCAAAGTTTAGAAGGTGATTTTATGACTTTGGACAGCCTGGTCAGTACTCAAGTGGGAAACACTGGCATACTTCTCCTTGTAAAGCACCCACATCCAGTAATCATCATCAGCTCCCATCTGATACAACTCATTGTAGTTTCATTACCTCAGTTTACTCCAGATGAGATTCTAGCCTTTGAGATTCTCAGCTTTTTCATTAATCTTCTGCGAAATTCTGATTAAGTGCTTTTTTTCTTTAAGAATGCTCAAATGCATGGAGGAATTTTTCTTATCATACTTATTTGCACCAAAACACTGTTAGGACAGGAAACTGCAAAACTCATAAGCAATAAGTTGAGTCCCTTTCTGAGGGATTCCCTGATTCAGATTCAGGTAGAGCCACAGGAGGCATGGAGCCAAGCCCCTTGGAAGCAAGCAGCCTTTACAGCTCTCCTGACACGATGCTCAGCCCCAAGAGCTGCTGCAGCCCACAGCACAAACCCTGTTTACTTGTAGCACCATTCCTAACTTGGTTCCACTAATAAATATGGGCATTGCTCCAACCACACAGAAGTTACAGGGGATTTTCTCACCAGCTTGGGCTCAAAGCTGAGAGCAGACTGAGGAGGCAGCAGCACATACAGCAGCATGATGAAACAAAGCTTTTGTTATAGGTATCTTATTGCTTAATTCTCCTTAAACAGTGTATTAAGAATATGCTTTTCTCTGAGTCTTTCTCCTTTCTCTGCAATTTTTATTTAAACATATTTTTTGCACCAGGCTCAGGAACTCTCTAACAACACAGTACTGAGTGAATTTCTGCTGCAGATTCAGTTTTCTGAGTCATTCATGACACACAAAGGACTCTTGCCCAAGGGACAGCCATATTCTGGGCTTCTCTTTAGTAAAGAGGAAGCTGTGAGGCAGTAAATTACCTTCCTCAGGAAAATATCCAATAAATTATCCCATTAGGAGCATGGGAGTGGGGGGAAAAGCCCATTCTCATTCCTTGAAAGCACCCTCTAAATCCCCATAAATAATCCCCGTTTCCAGACTGCTCCCATCCACCATTGCCTTTCCCTGTTGATAACCACAGTTGATGCCACAAACCAGTTTCTCCTGCTCTGTTGGTGGTCATTGCAAGGAGGTGCTCCAGTAATTCCTGGCTATTTCTCTGTAGAGTGGACAGTCCCTTGCTAGTCCTGATCCTGCCTCTGCCCTATCCTCACCAGCCTCATTTGGATCACTTAAAATCCCTTCTGTGCTGTCTGGCCATGGAGAGTTGGAATGCTGGGGGATACAATGTTTGCACAAGGTAAAAGTCAGAGCTCTAGAAAATAGGAATTTTGAACTTTTTCTTCTTGACATCTGGTGACATGGTATCAGCACACTACCTTTAGCCCCTCCTTTCCTTTCTGAAGGTTGATTATTGCTTTGACTACATCTGAAAATGACTCAGTTTTGTGAGATCATTCACTATCTCACCTTGCTAAGGAGAAAACAGGCTCAAAAGTCTCTCAGCCAAGAGGGAAAGCAAGAAAGCCATTATTCACACTGCACTGAATTGGATTTCAAATGATAAGCAGAGCCACAGCCTCCACATTGACCTCCCCACTGGCCTTGGGGTGATGCCAAATGCTGATGCATGGCAGCTGGATCTCCAGCTGCACTGTCTGCAGTCAGCAGTGATGTAGAATATGCTGTCTTGCAAATTTAGTCAGGCTTCCCCCAGACTGCTGCACTCTAGACCAGGAACTCCAACCAGCAGGTACCCAGTTCGGCTGGTTTGTTACAGATTCTCAGTGACATCTCCTGGACACAAACAGTAACAGCCAGGAAAATTTAATCCAAACAAATTTGCTATCTTTTTGTGCAGGGCTCAGTACATGCCAAGGCATTTCATATGTAGTATCTTGTGAACATTCACAGGATTTCTGGGCACCAAACTTTCCCATTCACATATTTCAAATATGTGAATATACCTTAAATGAGAGAAATGTAGCAACTTGGAATATTTTGGTTTAAAGTAGCAATATTTGCCACTGAAGGATAAGGTAGAGATTCCCCTGGATTCCCTATTTTAACACCTGATAGTTTAGCTACAGTTATATTCAAGATTTGTTCAAACTACAAGTTTCAAAGGGTACTTCTAATGCTCCTGCTCATGAGGATCTCTTTGTGTCCCTTTTATTTCATCTCCTGCATCTCCATTCACATATGTGCTCTTCTTCCCCTGGCCTCTTCCTTGAGCTGGATGAGGCAGGCTGATGATGCACTCTGTGTATTTTTGTCATGGGATCTTCTCCTATAAAAAGCCATCCAAAGAATGAATGTAAGCAGACTGAACACTGACTTCTTCCTTCCACCACTGGCAACAAATCTAGGACACTTAGGAGCAGCCTCAGACTGAACATTCAACGCAGAGTCAGCAGCTCCTGCCTCTGACTAAGCCACAGGCCCTTAACAGCTGCTGATCTCTATCTCATTCTCCAAAGTGAAGGCAACACTTGCTGCTTCAACCACACCAGAACCCTCAGATGGTTGAGCAGAGCTGTTTTTCAGACAGGGAAATAAACAAGGAAAACTTCAATTCCTGCCACACCAGGAAATTAGAGGGAAGTTTGAGGGAGTTTGGTATTCAGAAATTGTTAAGTGCTATGATGAGAAGAGAGCAGAAATGTGTAAAGTGTTGAGTGACAAGAAATACCACAAATATGTTACAAATTAGTTTTTCCTGCCCATATCTGAAGTTCAAACAGTAGTTGAGTTACAAAGGAAAATTATCTATATCCATTTGGATAAGGGATATAAGGGAAGCTCTTTAAATACCAAGAGTGTCTGGAAAACTCTCTCTTCAGTAAAAGAGAGCAATTCCATACATCTAAATGTTAATGCCAATTTTTCCCTGACACTAATCCAAGAATTGCTGCAGTATGCAAATTTCTGCAGAATGTGGATTGACAAGCTGCAGCCCTTTTTTCCTCGGCCATCAACCTTTCTTTCTAGGGAGTTGCCACAAGATTTCTTCCAGTCCTTGAAATACTTTAGCTAGATACTACTCAATGTCTTGAAAGGACAGACAGCAGAAACTAAAAGCCAATAGGGACAGTCTCCAGTCAGCACCATAGCCATAAGGACTGAGTACATGGAATTTGTCTTTTATGAAATTTAGAAGAGATAGCACACAAGCTGTTTCAGGATTGTACAAGGTACCCATGGTAATGGGACCTTCACTAACTCTTAGGTGTGCCAATCCCCAATGTCCCAGGACACAGAGCAGCATTCACAGCTGCTCCTATTAGACAGACTTTCCACAGCCAATGCAGCCTGGATAGCTGCTGCAGTGAAGATGGGGCCAGAATTCAGCTGTGGAAACAAAAGCTGAAGTATCTGGGATAGGAATATATGTGGGGAGAAAAGGTTATGGCAGCTGAGAAAATTTAATTTTGCTTTGCAGTGTAAAGGGTGTGATTGACAAATGAGGTGTGAGAGCTGAATTCTGAGAGCTCTCTCAGCGGAAGCTGTATGTTGGTATGACTGATGTAAAAGCAGAAAGCAATCACAACTGCAGGCCAAGACTCTGAACACAATGAGGATCTTAGAAAATTTCCCACTCCCAGTTCCAGCCCTCCCTATCTTCCCACCTAGACACAAAAGATATCCATGGTTGAGACAATAAGGGGCTACACTAAAGTCCTATTCTATAGCCAGCAGCTCTTCTAACTAGAGATATATATGCCGACTCCCTTGGGAAATACATCTTCCCACCTAGGCACAAAAAATATCCATGGTTGAGACAATAAGGGGTTACACTAAAGTCCTATTCTATAGCCAGCAGCTCTTCTAACTACCACCAAATATGCTGACTCCCTTGGGAAATAAAACCAAAACAAATGAAAAGCACCAGCCCAACAAAGGGCTATAGTCAGAAGTTCCAAAAGTTAGTCTGCAAGTTTCCAGAGCTCACCTCCCCAGCCTGCCACAGACAGGAACTCATCAGCTAGTATTGGAAAGTGTTCTCTCAAATGCTGCTGACACTTGCAGCCTTACTGCTTGGGCCTGCCCACATGCAGAGAGCTCCCTGAGTCATCACAGCCCAGCCCTGACTACAGTTCATCTCCTGGGTCAGACAGCCAAAAAGTCTAATGATATCTTGGCTGAAGTTTCACTGCTTTGGTCAGGTCTTGCTTTTTTCCAAGCTCTGTTGTTTTGGTTTGTCATGTTGATTAATGGTTGTGAGTGATGAATTTCTCATTAAATCATGTTTCCTGGGTCTCAATTTTTATAAAGATCCAAACTGTCCTTTTGGCAAGGTCAGGCCAGGTTTTCCAAAAGGCTCAGTTTAAACAGGAAGCAGATGGCCAAATACCCTCCAGATTTTGCAAATTAAATAAACTGGCTTCTGAGTCAGTTACCATTTTCAGATATACTCTCCCATCCACTGAAGCCTGTTAACAGGAGCAGAACACAAAGAAAACGATTCTCCCTGCTAATACACTTCGTGACAGTTTGTCTAATAAAGTCGTGATTTAGCAACATGATCCATTATTGCTGCAAGTGGCAGATTGGGCTCTTTGACAGAGTAATTACAGATAAGAACAGGTTGTGAAGCTGCAGATAAAAAAGTGGGGGGGCAAAAGAATGGTAGCAGTTCCAAGAGCAGATTGGTACAGCAGGACAGAAAAAGTATTTTACTAGTGGTTCTTTATTCTTGAGTAAAAACTGGTGTGTTAGAATAACCTGGCTTTCAGTACTACCCAACTTTGTGATCTAGCTCCCTTAACACCTACAGGAAACACACAAACCTAGCTGAACACTCCTGTGTTGTCACAGCTGTAGTCCCATAATTGAGAGTTTGGTTTTCAGGGAAAGGCAAGAGGCAGTAGTGGTATCAAAGCTAGAATTTAACCACAAGAAGCAGTACTCCTACCAGATCTCACAAGCTAAGCAGGGCTAAATCAGCACATGGGAAAAGAGATGACCAAAGTAAAATTACATCATTAAGGACATTGCCACATTGCATTGCAGCCTTTTCCATGACCTCAGTGGACCAGAGAAGGCTTTGGAGAGCTACCCTGTTCTTGGCATGGAGTAAGGTCTTGATTAGTCTGGTAGTTGGAGGACCAGGACAAACAGGAGGCTGTTATTAGGTAATAGATAGACCCTGACACAGTCAAACACCAAACTCATTAGACTTGTTATGTAATTCTTACCATCTGCTCAGAGACCACAAGACAGTCAGATCCTCTTAAGAAGTTTGCACACAGCAATATGGAGAGAAGTGTTTGTAATGAGTCATGTCCAGAGAAAACAAAGAGGCTTTGATTCAATCATTTTCCCTTTTCTTTTTTACTTTACTGCAAGGAAACATCGTGAGTTCACTGCATCTGCCTCAGCTGCCAGCTGTTACTAAAAAGGTGGTATTAACCAAAGAAATACTCATCTATGACAAAGTTTACAACAGTCAACCATGGACTTCCATTATCACTGGACAACTGCAATTGGGGTCCACAGGACTGAGAAGGAGAGCTTAGCAAAGCTAGAGGCTGTGGAGTAACACAAACCAGACTCAGTGCTACATCCTCTGGGCTCTGCACAGGCATGGAAGAGGTGACTGTAAATCAGTGTATACCACTGTTAGGAAGTTGTTCAGAAAAACAAAATTTACGTCCATAATGCTCTACAAGAACATTGGAATTGCCTTTTACTGCCCAAGATAATGACACCAAAGAATGGAAGGGCTGTTTTTGGGTTTGGTTGTTTTTGGATTTTTTTTTTTTTTCCAGACAGTGGCTACTGAGGTGCAACATTTCAAAATGGAAAACCAGTAAATAGGCTAAGTATCAAATTTTCAGCCACCATGTAGGCAAGCATTGAAACACCAAAATATTTGTGGTTGCTCATACCTAATGAAAAACAGCTAACAATATGCTTTCAGGCAAACCTACAAAGTCATCTGGGAAAAAATCTAAATCAAATGAGGTCATTTAGGCGTGAATTACTTTAATAAGTGAAACGAGGCAGAAGAGTGCCCAGTTTTGTTTTCATTGCATAAAAAAAACCCAATCTTTTGCTAAAGGAAAAAGAAAGTAACATTATTTGGAGAAATGCATTTTTGCAAAGTGTAGTAATGTCTGGCTTGCACCTAAAGTTCTCTTTGCAGGAGGCACTAGAGGGAGAGTAAGGAAGATTCCTGCTATGTTTTACCTATGACTCACCAGAGGTCACTAACAGAATAAGACACTGGGCCAAAGGGGCTTCAAAGCCTCCCTTATCTTTTTCACATGCTACCATGGGGATTCTGGAGTGGAGGCACCCAGGTTTCCAAATTTACCTGTAAACTTCAGACTGATACAAACTTAGAAACTATGAACTACACTGCCCTGTTCTATAGTAGGATACTATTTCTGGACTGTACTGAGGAGATTTTAGATAAGCTTGAAAATTCTTAAAATGTGATTTGTTATTTAGGTAGATGGGGGCATGAAAGACACCTTCTCACTCTCCTTTGTTATTTGTTAGTACTTCTATGTTGATGAGCCACTTATTTGCTGATTCGTAACAAACAAGCCCCTCAGCCTTGCCTTCTTTGAAGAGTTATTTTTCAAGTCTTTAAGCACCTCATATTTAAACAGCCTCATTTAAACACCTTTCTCATCACTTCCAAGAATAAAAGCATTAGATAAATGTGAAGAGTTGAATTTGCTAAAATAGCAGGTGAGAATACAGGCACTGCTGAAATTATGAATCCATAAAGAAATATGAAAATTCTTTTTTTATGTCTATCCTTGACATTTTTATTTCATGTTTGATGTTCTAGCTGGAATTGGAAATGGGTTTTTTCTTCCTGTTTAGTAAACCACTTTCCACAAGTTGCTCATTACATGCTGTATTCAGCTTTTGCTATTGGTCCCAAATGTTGCAAGGTAATGGGGTTCAAAAATAGCAATCCTCCACATTTTACTGGGCAGGCAATTGTATATGAGGCACTCAGTTCTCAACAGCTCCTACTTACCCCTGCACTGAGCACAACAGTGGGATGAAAAGGGTTTGAGCAATTTAATGCAGTTACAGACCCTGTCCTGCCCAGAGGGTTGTGGAATTCTAGGAAGGCGAGACCCTGAGATGCTTTACTGCAGATGAGAAGGCAGTTGGTGCCACCTCTGCTCAGTCAATACCCTCTTCTAATGCAAACCCTTTAGTTACTGAGCTTAGGAAACTGCCACAAGATCCTACCTGCAAGCCTCCAAAATCAAGTTTTAATACTCAGAGCTTCATAAACAATTCTGTGTAAACTAGATTTGGATTTCTTTCAGCAACTTGGAATGCATTTTAAAATGCAAAGACACAGCAAGGATTGGGCCTGCTGAGCTGACCATTTCCAGAGCTGGGATGGTGCACTCTCTGCACTCTTTACCCACCAAGAGAGACAGGCTTTCCAAGAGGACCTTCTTATAATCTTAGCATTTTGTGCAAAATCATGACACTTCACTGTTTCTATGGGGAAGATGATAAGAAAATTTTGAATTTTCTTATTTGCAGAACACATGGAAATAGAGGCAAAAGGAGTTGCCAGAGGCCATTCAGTCAACAGCAGAGACTGTTTTAGGACCTAGATAAGATTTTATCATCTACAGTATCCAAAATAATGAATTAAATAATTTGCCAAATATTTCAGTATCAGCTCTTTCTTTGGGATAGGAACTGCGTCACTTTGTGTGATTGCAAATTCCAGGCAAACAAAGGACTATGTAATAATCATATCTTTTAAAGATTAGAACCTTAAACTTTAGCAATGAATCATTTCTAAAACAAAGGCAAATGAGGAAGAAGGGGGAGGTCATGAATAGATCCCTGATAGACTAAAATCTTTTCCCACAAACAAGATGCTTGGACATTGTGCAAAGATATGCAGTGAAAGTTTTGTTCAATTTCTTGCCCTCTAAATATGTTCCTCCCAGCCCATTGTGGAGAACATGGAAAATTAACTTGCTTTAAAAAAAAAAAGTACAGCAACTTGGCATTTATCCATTCCATACACCGTGAATTGTAGCAGCACTTCTCAGGAGCAATATGAAAATACTATTGCAACTGCTGTACAGAGCTGAAGGGTGACAGTCAGCATGACACATTCCAGGATGTATCCAAGAGAATCACAGAGTGTCATTACCAGAAACCTCTTACCTGACAAGATTGCAAATTGCCTGTGGAGCTGCTCTATTATATCCACTGCTACAAGCGGCCGTATCTCCTGCTGCATGATTTCATCTGTGCAAGGGAAAACAGAAATCTTCCGTGAGTTCATAAAGCCTCAGTGACATTTTTTTCCACCTTTAACAACCCAGCAAAACAAAGATGACACTCAAAGTAAAAAGCCTAGCCAGAGCTATTCTATGACTATTGTGGTAAAGATTATGGTACTTACAGAGTCTCCTCTTCAGCCTATTAACTTCATCTGTTGCCTTGTGATTTCAGAGAGAGCTTTTCATAAACCAGCTCCAGTAGATTTGCCACAGCTTGCCACAGGTTTGCTCAAGCTGACAGCTGCTCCTTACCACTTCAGGTTCCATATTAAGTCATTACATTTGGCCTCCCACTACAGCAGTTTTTCAGTCTTTGAAACAGTGAAATCTACTGCACATACATGGCCCTGTTCCACCCTGAACTCCCCGAACTCTGCTGGAGACTTTGTGTAGCCAGCCAATCCACAACAGTTTCCTTTCCCGATGCTTTTTCCGCTACAAGCAAATACATAGTAAAAGGAGGAAATAAGGGGCTGTGAGACTTGCTTCTCATGAAAACAAAGCCTGTTATTTTAACTGAGCCTGTTAGTTTAAACACTAAAAAGTTTAAAAGTAACTTGGCAAGCAGCTAGGCAAAAAATTACCTCAACTTTTGTGTGTGATCTATGAAGTGAAAAGCAATTATAGTCTCACATGAAGCTAATTTGATCTCTTTTTGTAACAGGTGCACCCAGTTATTTTCCCCACTCTTCACACCAGTCTAAAGCAGCAACATTTACAAGAAATATTTGCCAACTTAACTGGCAGGATCAAGGTTTATGTTATAATGACACCTATTGGAACTACTCCTTTAGCCACTGTACAGAGCAACAACCAGTCCTGGTGCTGTACAGATCACCTCTAAGTGATGGGTGGTAAGAAGGAGGCTGGGTCCAGACAGACCACAGACCTGAGTCAGGGCAGGCTGATGCCCCATTTAAGCACCAAGATATTAACTGATGTGAATTCAACATAGGCACTGAAATACTTTTGTGCACATGGTTTTAAACCAACAGTCCAGAAACAGAGAGGAAGGTCAGAGAGGGTAGAGATTAGCTTCTTTCTCCTGCATCCTAGTCTACTACCCAGAAAACCTTCTCTGTCTTGCTTTCAGACATCCACTCTGATCCTTTCCAGAACTACGGATTCTAGGTTTAAACGACACAATATCATTTGAAAAGTTTTATGTTCATTTTCAAACACTTCACTAATGCCTTGAGACAAAGTAGCTGAAGAGCTTGTGTCACAGTGGGTGACACACAATGCGAAAAAAAATTGCAAAGATTTGGCTGATGCACAAAAAAGGCAATGATTCCAAAAAACAGGGCAAGAGGGGGAAAAAAGAGTCAAGAAGGATGATTCTGCAAATCCTCCTTTTTGAACTTAATAGGAGAAAATGCAAACTTGAGAAAAGAGTCAAGGAGGATGATTCTGCAAATCCTTTTTGAACTTAATAGGAGAAAATGTAAACTTGAATGAGTGATGTTTTTGATGTGGGACCTTCTTTTCCATCCTGTTGATGAGGCTCACTATCACCTCTCTGATTCTTGACATTGTAGGCAGCAAAAGCAAACAGGAATCATGGAAGGGATTGTTATACATTGTCAAAGCAAATAAAAGAATAGTAACCCATTAAGTTTTGCTCTTTTACTCTGCAATTTCTTCCATGCATATCCAGAATGGGACCTGGGGGCGAAACTGCAAAGCAAATAAAGGAAAGCAAACTAAAATAGTTTTGAATACTCAACGTTATTTTCTAGAGAGTATAGAATACTATGAGCCTGATTACTCTCTAGCTGCTGAGGAACAGCTTGTTGATAACCCTGTCTGGAGTCAGATAAATACTACATTCAAGGAACCAGAAGCAAAAAACTCCTGTAATCTATGAACATAATTCTCAACAGATACTGAGAAATGTCCCCAGATTATTGGTCCGAAGATCCTACCATCCTTCAGGAAGTACACTGGAAGTATTTCTGAATCACCATAATAGTAACAGATTTGCCCTTTTAAAAAGAGGTGTTGGCAGCAAGATGAAGGCAGAAGAGAGGAAAACTAGTGACTGTAGCTGATTGTAACAAAAACCAGTCAACATGGAAGTACAGGAAAGGAAAAGCAAATTAATAATTTAAATAAAGCTTGGATTCTCAGAACTGAGAAACCTCAGGGCATCATCCATTGAAGGAAATACTGTTGATTTCAGCATCCAGAAGGTGCAAAGTTGTTGTGACATCTGTGCAGTCCCACAGGTGGTCAGGTACACTCAGTTTGACTAGAACTGAGATTATGCCAAACAGCTGCAAAAATAGAAAAAAGGTTTCTACAATGGATAACAGAGTCACAAGAAAAATTCTGACATAAATGGAAAGTTAACTAGAAAAGGTGCCACCTCTCAGAGACTTGCCCAGCCCTCCAGGGCAACAAACCTGCCAGTAGTTTAGTTTGTGTTTGGTGTTTGCCAATGTGAAGATATCATTAATATCAATCAGTCTTGAGCAAAACAGAAATTCCACCACCCACCCAACCCCTATTTAGCTTTATTAGCTTGCTGCAGACATAGCTTTGCTACTGGTTTCTAAATATCCTTTTTATTTCAAAATATTTTTGTGATGTAAGGATAAGATGAAGCAAAAGAAACAAAAATTGCAGAGTGCCAGCTGGTTCTTATCAAATCTCCTGTCTGGGCAAGATGAACCACATGGGATTTCCTGTAAAAGCCACACTCAGGAGGAGATGTTCAGATGATGAGAAAGGTGGTAGAAAACACATTTGATGACTAGGAATCACACATTCAATAAGTCAGTACAGTTCACACAGTGACATGCTGGGAAAAGCAATTGCAGCAGAAGAAACTAGCAGGAGACAGAAAATCTGAGAAAACAAGGGAAGGTGCCTCACGAGCCCAAATGGCAAATCAGATCATGTGGCTGTGAAATGTCAGCAGCTGTAGCCAACAGCACTCAAGGTCCCATTTGCCCATTTGTGTCTTCCTCTAGGACAGTGCTTAAAGGTAGTTACTCCCCAACATGGAAGAATCTGTAGCACCACCATAGCACAGACCTTGCAGAAGTCCCAGTCCTTGGAAACATGATTGATTTCCTGGGGCTGCTGGAGGAAGTTTTTAATCTTTAATTAGGAAAAAAGCTTGAAAAAAAATCTTATAAGCAAACAAAAAGACATAAGTCTGGGTTTGATTCAAAGCTGTGACATTTGTCTAGTATCAGTGAGCATTAATAATTTATATCTGCCACTAGCTTTATCTCAGGAAGCCCTGAAGCCTCTCTGGTCTGTACTGCAAGTCAGGAAGCAGCAGGAAGTGCTGCTCACCCTCCTGGACAGAAGCAAGGCACCATTTTTCTGTGGGACTGATATTCCAGCTGAGAAACCCCTTCTTCAGGGTGACATGAGCTGGTATTGAGCTGACAGCTACAGGTTCATAGACACTTCAGAAAAACTTATTGATGACAGGCACATTTTAACACTGCATGGTGCCAAGGGGAAGGTTTCAGGAAGCTGAAAAGCTGCAGGAACATGAAAACTATCTTGTTTCATAGCATCCCTTGCTAATATCTACAGAGGACGTTGGACAACTCCTGCTCACTTCAGAGCAGTTCTGTCCTCTGATAAAATCTGTATCTGTATAGGCATGCAACTTAAGATCTTATAAAAATACACACCAGCCAAGTGTCTGCAACATATTTATTTTGGGAAACTTGACTCAGACATTTCCCACCTTCTGTGTGATTGCTCTTGTGGTCTCCACCTTTTTTTTTTTTTTTTTTTTTTTAAGAGGCAGTTATTCATAGCCTCTGAAATTTCAAAAAGAAAAATTTTATTGTTTGGTGTTACATGCAACAATGTCAATCCCCTACACAGGTCATCAAAGATGAACGTTTACATATACCATACAGTTCTTCATTACTTGAATTAATTGAATTTGTCAGGACAATTTAAATATGAATAAGGATGTGATAAAAGAGGAAAAAAAATAAAAGAAACAAGTCAGTTCATCTACTCTTGGTTCTCCTCTTAAACAGCTATAAATTCAATTCCTAGCAGAGGCCAGTTTCAGTGCGGAAGAATTAGGCCTTACAGTTTTGCTTCCCAAGGTTTTCTACCAAAGGGGAGAAAAAGAAAAGCAATTACTACAGCCATCTGTCTGGCACAGCTTCTCCTCCTTCCCAGCTCTCCAGGGAGGCTCACTGCAACTGTGCTATCTGATCCTCAAGGGGAAAGCCATTCAGTTATGCTTCATAATTCCTCATTCAACAATGAAACCTGCTTGGGCTCACAAACACACACTTGCTTATTCTGTGTCTCACCCAGCTCTATGTGCTCCCACAGCAGGTCTGGAGGAGCTACACCAACAGCAGATGGTTAAAAGCAACAAAGAATATCCTCTTGTTCTTTCCTCTCTTCTCTGAGCAGACACAAACTAGTTTACGTACTAATGGCAACTAATTGTTTCCAACAGCACTGGAAAGGTGACTTGCTGGAGTGAGGGACTGGACTGCACCAGCAGACTGACACAGCAGTGCCTGGTGCTCCACCAAGGACAACTAAAGGCCACCAGCCACACCAGGACACTGGGGCTTCTTTGTTTTTAGGTGGCTGAAGGCTACAATTGCCTGGCCTTCTGCTGACTGCAGGAGAGGATGGCTTCAATCCCCCATCTGAAGCCACTACTCTTGGAATAATGGGCTACAAATTTCCAGAGCAAAGTTCATGTCTTCTTAATGACAGCCTAATATGTAATTCACAGTGGAAGAAGACAGCTGAGAGTGAAAGAAAATATTTTCTAAAATAGTAGAGTACATCAGCCTACTTCTACTTTGTGCAAGCTCTGTCAAAAATTATGCTCAGAGCTTTCAGAATTTTTTGGAGAAAAATCAGATTGCTGGTGTGATGAAAAAGGGTCAGACAGGATTAAGCACGAGGCCAGATACTTCTTGGCCAGATACTTCATTTTAAGAACATGAAAGCACACCTTACATTATGTGCTCTTATGCTCCTTAGAAAGTACCAAAAGGCAAATCCAAAGTTTGAAAGTTGCAGAATTCCTACAGTCCAGAACTTCTCCCAGGTTGAGTCAGCTTTGCTTGCCACCAACAACAGCAAAGTCTAGCAGAGCTAAGTTAGATTTCAAGAATTAAACACAATAAGGAAACAAATTTGCACGTTTGACTGATAAGGTTTAAGCAGGCTAAAGGATTTGAAAATATTCTGTCCCACCAGAATGCCCGGTTCAAGTTCTTAAGCAAAACATTTCCCTTTTTGAAGGTCAAAAAGAACTCCAAGGTTATTACATCAGAGAAAGACTCTCTTAGTTTGGAATCCTATTTTAAAAT